GGAATGTTTGCCACAGGTCAGGAGTGGCGCTTTCTGCTCTTTTGTGTGCAGTCTGCAGAGGAGGTGTGGAATGCAAACTTCATGAGAACAGAGGCGAAGAAAGAGACGAAGGGAAAGAGTAGCTGGGGGTCGGCTCACCAGAGGGGAGACTTGAACAGAGAAAGAATGGGCGCAAAGAAATGAGCGAGAGTGTTTTCGGTGGTTCTGAGGCAGACGGCGAACACCATTAGCTGAGAGAAAGCGTTAAAAGAGCTGCACCAAAAAAAAAAAAAAAGAGAGCGAGAGTTAAAATTGTTGCTGCAGCTGCGGACCACACATTATGAGCGTTGCATAGAGAGCGCTTTGACTGCAATAACACCCTGAAGATCAATGTGGCACCAGTGAATGACGTTCTTAGAAACATTCATCGTAGTCACAGCTCACGATTGCACATTATTTGGACATTCTCAGGCACAACGTGTCAAAAAGCATTTCTCAAACAGTACATTTACATCGAACCCAAACTGAAGACAGCGATTTTTGTGGCACTGAATTTCTTGTAGAAACCAGCTGAAAACATCGGCACTTATAGGTTATTGAAAAGGCAGCCAACAAAAGACAGCAAAGGGGAACAACATTGTGGTGCCAGTTGTGTAAGATCATAGAAAAGTCAATGGATGGATTCCCAGTAGGGTTGTTCACTTATCCCCTGTGGCACCATGTTGCAGAAGTCTTTTGACTAAATCATTTGCTCATTTTTAAATTCCTCACATATTCTTGAACAACGGCAGCTTTCCAAACACGTGCGGAAGACGTTTCAAAGAAACGCTGCTTTCAATCATATTTGGCATCAGTTTTTCATTTAAGCCCGAGTGCCACTACTAATACCAGTTTTTAATGTAATTGCCTCGTTATTCAGAGATGAAAACACAATGAGCGAAGAGGAGGGTACACAGCAGGGTTAGCACGAGTGTGGCCACTGGTTGAGTTTATTTAGTCTATTTGTTTGAGCAGTTCATTGAACAGACATGGTCCTTAGATGTTAATTAGCTTAGTCTCCCCTCATGTCTAATGATTATAATTATCACCAGACTGGCAGTTCTCCTTTCTTACTGGGCCAGTGGAAGAGGGGAAATTTCCACATGCTTTATAAAGTCACAACCCTGGTTTGGCAACTTCATTACAGCGGAATTTAGCGACCGACTTTGCAGAGTAATGTATCTGATAACACAGCTCTGCGTCCAGGCCCTGCTCTGATGGGGATCTTGTTCATTTCAACAGAACACGGCTCTTATTCAAATTGCAAATACCTAAATTGGATAATATATGAAATAACTCGTCGCATCCTGTTCGATGCGTTCACTCTGCCCTCTTTGTACAGCAGGTGGGTAAAGCCAGAATACCTCCAGCATATTTTGTATGAGAAGGTGTGGTTTGGTGAGAGGCCTTATGTAAGAACACATGCTGTCTGATATATTGAGATACTATCATCAGCAGTCGGTGGGTGGCACAATCACGTTTCTCTTGAGGTGCTTTCACAGATCAGGGGTTTTACAGCCTCTGACAGGTTAACCTACTTTTTTTTCCCCCACGAGCAAAACGTGGAATTGCTCAGTGCCTGTGTTTTCTTGCCTTTATACTTGTTCTGTTGATCAGTTAAGGATGTAAGTTTTTCTCCCCCACACATTCTTACACCATTTTTTTCACCATTAGCACTGAGACCACATAGCTCCTCTTTTATGTGGTACTGTAGACACTGCAGACAGATGTTGGGTTAGAGTCTCAATGTGCAAAAAACATTACATTACTAATATTTTGTTATATATATTATATTATTTCTTTTCTAAAGTGCATAAATGATTCTGCTATAAATGGTGATTTAAAAAAAAAAAATCCTGACTATATTGCAAAGGCAGAAGGTAGTAACAATATTTATCATTAAATATGTATTTAAATGACATTGCAAGCCCATAAGGAAGAGATGGCGTAACATCGAAGGTGATTTGCAGGAAGCTATTTCATAATGACTGCATTCTAAGAGAGAAACTTTTTTTTTTTTTATACATAAATCATTTTTTTTGGCAAGTTGAAAGAGTCAGTAGCCTCTTCCTTCTGAAACCTCGCATACATATTTTACCTGGTAGTCGGCCTGTTATCCTGTTCTGGCATGTTCTCCAACACAAGGAGCAGACTGCAGGCAGATCCAATTGAAAGCCCATCTTAGGGTGTCTAATCCTGAGTGCTCATCTGCTCCTCTTGAGGATTATTAAGGTTTCACAGTCGGGCCCAAAATACAAGCTGATGACAGATTACTTCACTTCCACCCTCTCAGCGATTAGATAATAAGAAAAATCCACAGTCATTTATCAGCTCAGAATGACTTGCGGAGGAGAGAGATGCTTCCAGTTTGGGATGAACATCAAACTCTGATGCTGTAAACATAATAAATCATTCTGAGGAATTAGAGAATAAATAAATAAAAACAATATGTGACAAAAACTTAAACAGCAACATATCCAAAACCTTGTTTTTTCCTTCTTTAAAGTCTGTCATACATTCATTCGCTGCCAAACATCCTCTCAGTTTTTTCTTAACCACTAATCTATAAAAGCACGTCAAAACACATATGGAGTATAATTTAGTATCTTGGTGTTTCCACATGATTGGTAATATGTACAAAACAAAGAGGTTCTGTTGGTTTCTGCTGATTGCAAGATAAAGAGACTGCCAGCATGAACTGAGATCACTCTGTGTGTATGTACATTCTCATATCAGTTTGAAAAGGATGATATATTTATTGCACATTAATCATTTTCAGGAAACTGTCTTGATCATTCAAAACTGACAAAGTACAAAAGGGTCAAATTAATTTGAATATGAATTCACATCATGAGCATTATGCTTTGTACAATCAGTACAAGTTTGGTACATGTCATGTAGAAAACCAAAGAGTCTGAGTGTAAGTTAATGTCAGGTTATTTTTAGATGAAGGACTCTTGCACATTAGAAACCTGAGTTGCTGTATGAGTAAGTGTATGTTTCTTTAAAGAATATTTATCTGTAAGTCGTACAGGTTCAGTGGTTGGACAAAGGTACATAGCACATGCTCTGGAAATATTTCTCACCCAGAGCTCAGACTACCCACTGGACTCTTAGTAACTATCTGCTAAAAGCTGCTAGGAATGTGGCCCTGACTCAGGCTAGCTAAGCTGGTACTGAGAATGAAGACAGTGGGAGGTCAGGGGGTCTGTTGTTTACCCACCAGATCAACTTCACTCTGTCCAGTCATCTGGGTGTTTCTGTCAAATCTCCTCCTGTCTCTCATTCCCATAGATTCCTGTGTTCTTTCTACATCTGCTCCAAAATATTGTTCTGTCTCTGAGGCTGATGCAATGTATCTTTTATCTGTTGTATTCCTACGGGGTTCCTCATTCTGAAGAATTTGACCTTACCATAAGCATATTTTTTTGATTCACTTCATAACTGTCTGTACATCAATGCTGTTTCGTGTGTAATAATTTGTGGGCTAAGAGTTTGGCTTAGCTTGAAATGATATGTCACAAGACCACTGGAAAAAGACAGAATTGTGGCCTTTAATGAAAGCACATCTTCTTTCCATGGTTTGGGATTCTCCACTCTTGATATATTATGGTTTGGCTGATTTTCTCAAAATGTTCTCTGGGACTTCATCTCCCAGTTACTTTACAAAAAGCCTGTTGTAGCTTGGACTCCAGAAACATTATCTTTGGTAATTTTCCAATTCGACAAGGTCTTCACAAGTCTTATCTTGGAGCATGTCTCAACTGAATGCAGTTTTCTAAGAATTAATTAGATTTCTGGCAGGCTATATACAGCTTGCACAGGTGATTGGCACTATAAACCATATAGGTTTAAGCGCTGACAGATTATTGGGATAAATGTCACCTGCACGATTAAACATTAGGTGATGTGACTTAATAATTTATTTCATCTCTCTCCTGTCAACCCAGCTCCTGTCAAAATAGCATTTTCTTCCTGATGTTGTATGTCACTGTTGTGACATTACATATAAATGTGTTCATTACGAAATGGAGAAACACTCAAATATGTCTTTTCAGTATGTTGTTGAAGTTAAACAAAAAGGGAGCTTCTTTTTGTGGTGGATTTGACTGAACTAGAGATCTTTATAAGGAAGAATGGCCACTAAAGTCAAACTTACAGGGTGTGCAACGATCCACATTATTGTTTTAAGTGGTGTTTTTGTTGGCCGGATGTGCCTGTCCCTGAAATAATCAAGCCAGCTAGTCTTGCACTGTCAGCAGCCAGCAACCTCTAACCTGAGCTGATTCTGCCTACAGCATCACAGCGTTCAAGCTGCAGCCTGAACAAACATTACAGAAACTCTGCTGCAATGCTGTGCTAATACTGATGGTGGAGATAACCCTCCATGGTCTGGAAAAAAACCTTAATCCTTGAACTGGCCAGGGGTGTTCATGTTGAAGTGTATTTAGCCTACCTATTGCTGTAAAGATCAAAGCGTGGATCCATCCTCCAGGTTCAAATGATCTGAGAAGACATGAGATCTAAGTGAAGGTTAACTTTGAATCTGTGAGTCACATAATAAGAAATAAATACTGATGTTTCAGAGTTTTTACATCATCATCATTATCATCAATGCCATGATTATTATGATAAAAAAAAAAAAAGTTTTAAGTCACCACAGCAGCCCTCAGATACACTCAATCTTGTTTCAGTGTCGGTGGATAACATGATCTGCACTGACTTGAGCTGCAAAAAAATCAAGAAATTGACAGGTAACGAGGTAAAGCGCCGTCCTCTACATCACATCTGTAGGTAATGACAACCTCTAAGGAGTGAGACCTAACAAATTACCGCGAGTAATAAACGTGATTTACGAGGGAGCCGTCCGCAGGCTCAGCGCTCATCCGTGCGTCCCAGGACACCGTCCTGTGGGAGGGAAGAGGCGGAGGAGGAGAGCAGAGGGAGGGAGTGATGGGGAGAGGGAGAAATTGAATGAGAGGGACAGAAGCGAAACTGAGAGGAGCCACCACAACAAAACTTCTCCAACAATCAAGCAAGTGGAGCTACAGACTGGCTTCTCTCCTTGTTTTTTTTTTCTCCCCCCTCCACGCATGGCTGCCTAGTTCCAGCAGAGAGAACTTGTGCTGTATAAAGTTGTGGGTGCGGAAGGAGACGGGGGTCCCCGCTTTGGAAAGATGGACCAGTTAATAAGGAGCAGGTCGAGCTGGAGAATACCGCTGTTTCTTTTTATCCTGCTTCACGTCTCGACGGCACAAGCTGGTAAAGTATCTAGTTGAACACCTGCAGTTAAAAAAAAGAAAAGACGCCCAGGGGCAGCCTGTAGATGCTCGAATAAGTAAAACGTCGGTGAGAAAGAATGTCTTCTGTAGCCTAAATAATGCACTGTCCCATTTATATAAGTTTGCTCGACTTTTTCAGGCACCTTGATTTATCTTTTGGCCCCCAGCTTTCACGGAGTTATTAGACTAAAGCAGTCTGTCTTTTAAGGCTCACTTTGGATCCCGGTGCGTAAATGTGCTTCGGATGTTTTGGTGATGCTGCTACTTGTCCAAGAGAGCTGCTTCAGGCTGGGATTAAAATTGTAAACTAACTCAGATTACTCTTAGAAGTTATCTTAGAGCTGTTCTAATGATTTCAGTCATGTATTTAGTTTTTATTTTTTCATAATCTCACATACTAATTACACGTCACTGCGCTTTTCCTGCTCCACTACCGTTTGAATCGAACGTGTTCTCAGGGTTGGAGTTTGAATCCTGCGTCAGGTGTGCTGTAAGACAGAGATCTCAGGAGATGCATGATGTCATGTTTGAGTTTGCTTGTGACCGGCGTCGGTTTACTGTGAAAAGGTTTAACGTTGGCTTGAGAAAGAGGTGAATGGCTGAACACTGAAAGAACTGAGTAGATTAAAATTCCTGTCATGGATCTGTTTAATGTGCCCTCTGCTCACATAGGTCTTAAGTGAAGGCGCTTAGCACTAACGCTCTTACTGCCTTAGTCATGATTATTCTGGCACACTTAAATATTTGACATGTTTTATTGCAGGCTTCTGCCTCAGGTCACATTGTACAGATTGACTTAAGTAACCCTGTAACAACACTGGTAGAAGTGGAGTTACTGGAATCATTTTTCAATTATCCACCTGCAAGGAGACACTCTCTGGTCTCTGTCAAACAGCTGTGTCTGCTTGTCTGTCAATAAGTGTGTCCTGGCATCCACATTTGTTGCTCCTTCAGAGTTGTTCAGCAAGTGCTGCAGCCATTTTAAGCCTTCCTTGTTGCCAAAATGGATATTAACAACTAGCTTGTACATACATTTGTACCACTGCTGTCTGTCACCCACACAGGCCTCCACGCCCTTTGGCCGTGTCAGAGTGTCTTCAGTCTCCAGACTTACTTCCTTGCAGGTGCTGCAGTTAAGGGCCTCCCTGATGGAGCGACATGTCTCAGCAGCACGAATTAACTCCATGGTCATCAGAAATGCCTAAAGACATTTAATTTTCACTCATGGCTTTCCACGTGCACCCTCTTCATGACTGGCAGGATTTGCTGGAATTCACTGGCTGAAATAAAATTAGGAGGAAGTGAGCCAACCGACCTAATCACTTTCAAGTGGCACAGTGGCTGCGGTGTCCATTGCTCTCTAATGAGGCCCTGTGAAGTGAGAGGCTGAGGAGATTTAAAAGTGCACGGGACATATGGTGCTGCAGATATGGCAGTCTTAGATACGTGAATGTGGTCGATAATGCGTCTCGGTCTGCGAATGTCCGCATGTGCGTGTGTGTATTCCAGTGAAAGAATGTTTTCCCATATGCTTTCTGTGTGTGTTCGAGCGAGATGAGAGAGCACTTTGTAGTCATGTTTACTGACAGGAAGTGAGACATTCTTGCACACGTGCACAGTTTCAGTTCGACTCCTCTGTTCTTTTGCCTCAACACATTTTTGTTCAGTTTTCTTTTTCCTTCTTTTCTTTTTCTGATTCCATTCAAAGGCTGGGAGTCGGGAGTGTTTGTTTTTATTTTATATGCCTTATCTCTTCGTTTACATCATCTGCCTCCTCTCGCTTATACCCTGCCTCATCCTTAACTGCTTCTGTGACAGGGGGGGAAATTGTGCATACAGCCCCCTCACTGCATCCCGTTTGATCCAGCCTTCTTGCCAATCCTACACCAGACTCCCAAAGGAAGACAGCAAGCCTTGTTTGCCTTTGATCCAGCAACAAATTAGTGGCAAATGAAAACAAATGAAAAGGCAGCTGAATTTTGCAGGATAGAGAATAGGAAAAGAGGAATTTTATGAACGCTGAACAGCTCTACATATGAACAGCTCAAGTGTTTGCTTGTTTTATGCAAGCTAGTGTTCCACTAATGGAAACATTAAACATCAGAAATGTTAGATATGCTGATATCTGTCCCAAGGTGCTGATACTGCAAGTATCATATCAAACTGCTTCTCAGACTTTTTCATGAGGCAAACTGTTTGGAACTCCCCCAAGTCTTTAATATGCAGAAATGATGCTTAAACACTTTTCGGCGCCGGACTGCAATCTATAGTATTCAACACACATCTGGCTTCCAGAAGCTCCACTCCCCTCAGGCTTCTATGGCTCTGTGTTTCTGATCACTGGATGCTCTAAGCAGCTTTCTGTGGGACTAGCTGAAGATGCTTCTCGTGGAATCGCAATGAGCAGACATCAGAGGAGCTGACTTCTTTGCAGTGTCCCCATACATGTCATCTGCCTCTTCATCCCCGTTTATGAACCTTGGAAAAGTTTTATCTTAGTCATCCATCGCAATAGCGGTCACAGTAGAGTTCCTTCCAAGGCCATCTGTAGACTCTTGAAAGCAATATGCTGTCCTCAGTAACATTGTGACCTGGCTCCTTTTTCAGCTTCTCTGAAACTTGGCAAGAGTCCCGCAGGATAGAACACAAGCTGCAGAGATCTCGGCCACAACTTATTGAGAAACTCCTTGAAACATCCCTCAGAATCACAAACAAAGTGGTCATGGGCTGTGTTACACATAGTGTGGGACTGTGTGTATCGCATGCAGCGTTATGCTTTGATTTTGGCATCTCTGGTTACACTCTGTAATAGCAGCCCCAGTGTTATGTCTGAGAAACTAAATGACAGCTTGGGGGTTGAAACTTGAATGGGCTTGGTCATGTGCACGTTTGCATGTTTGTATGTAATCCCCTGTGCCTGAGGCGAGTGTGCTGTTCATGTGCATATTCATACCAAAACTGCCTGTACACATTTGTTGTGGTGGTGGGCTGTGCTACAAATTTACGAGGACCTGCTCTGGCCCCTAGCTCTTTAAGGGAGTTAGCGATTTGAAATTAGGTCAGGCGAGGTTAAGGGCCAATGTTAGGCATGCAGCAGAGATTATCATTAGGGAATGGATTTGCTGCGGTCAAAGAAGGTCCTCACAAGTGTGGATGTATGCGTGTCAGCGTGTGTTTGTGTGGCGTGCCTGTCCAGCTAGGGGCCTTGAGGGGCAGGTGTTTTCTCTGTGGGCCAAGCAGCTCTTGGCCTGCCGGCCTATCACGCTGTGAGCAAACATGAGCAGAACAAACTGTGGAGTTTGAAGAATGTGGTGCTGATGTGAATGGGAAGGAAATGTGTAGCCGGATTCCAGCAGAATCCTTCAGCTTCAACACCAAAAATATAACCGGACCGGACATTACCACTGACACACATCCAGTAGAACGCTGAATTGTTTTAATGTTTGTTTTCATACTTAAGACTGTTGGTCAATCATATGAATACTAATAATGCAGAATTCTGATGATTTGGTGTTGCATGTAAAAGTGTATATCAGTGTCTTAACATTAAGCACTGTTGATCATTACTTTTATTGTAACTTATGAATATTAATATGACCTTCTAACCCATTAGAAAAAGAAAAAATCCCAACAGTTATCTTCACAGCCGCTGACTTAACTTGCTCTTAAACCGCCAGTGTTAACTAAAAGCAGACTCAACCACAAAGCACATTCAGTGGAATAAATACCTCCCAGTGTCTCTGCTTGGTTACTCACTGCAAACCTTCAGACTAAATAGTGCTTTGTTTCACTGTTATGATAAATGCACCTTTGTCACTGATTTTTCCAGTATGCCTTTGCATGCTTGAATTACATCTGTTTGTAAGCAAATGAGCCAAGTGTTGGATACATAAAATAACACAGTGAATCAGAGAGAAAAATTGACAGACCTCCAAACTGCTGTTTTTTTTCCCCCTCTGTGAACACTAGAATTGAGCTACATGTAAACAATGCATGCACGTTGTTTGCTCATTCTGGTGTGACATTGTGTACAGTCAGAGTATCAGTCGTATTTGTGTCTGCATGTGTTTAAATTGTCATCTGTTCGGCGTGCATCAGCCCTCCTCAACTCATAGTGTTCATGTCCACACATTCGTGACCCAGACGAAAGGTCACACCCAGTCTTAATTAGATTACAGGCCACTCTTTCACAGAGCCTGGGAGAAAATGTGTCTGGATTTATTCAAGCACTTCTATTGAGTCTGTCATCAAATTTTCAGTATTAATCTTTGGCAGCTTATTACATTTTGAATTTCTTCTGAAGCGCTGCGTTTTTATGGAGGTTTTATTCAGAGCGGAATCTCAATAAAAAGATTTTAGAGGGAAAAAAAAAACATTTATTTTAAAAGAATACAATACTTGCTGTGTATTTCTGCATGATGTACACATGCTCAACACATGGCCACGTACTGTCATCTTTCTATAAGATATATGCACATCTCCAAACAGTAATTTAACGTTTAAATGTTAGTTCTTCTCCTCTACTCGTCGCAGGGTGTGGCCCAGTATGCTATGGGAAGTTCTCATGTCTTTCTTTTTGGCTTCATTTCTTGTTAAAATTCCCCATTTCCCAGATGCAATAGTTTTTGACAGTGTAGTACTGTGTGTGTGTGAGTGGGGTATTTTCAGGCAGGACAGGGAGTGTAGGTGGTGTGAGTCATAAAGAATGTCTTCCGAGTCATTTGCTTTCGAAACACAGAGAGCACATTATGTCCATGTATGACGGAAATGGTGCTGAATTGTATGACTGCAGGGCATGGAGATACTGTGTCAAGTGTCATACAGCCAGAAAAGATACACAGCTGTAGACTGTTTGGTGGCATTTCCAAGGGGTAGAGCCCAATCTGTGGAGCGCTCAGCTCTTCTTCTTTCAAGGCTGTCTGTCACTGTTGCTGAGCAGACATGGTTGTCTTAAAGATAAAACACAAGAGGAGGTAAAAGAAAAACAAATGTCTTATGGCTTACAATCTGTATGTGTTTATGTGCATTATTATGTACTTGCATACTAATCACATGCTGTTCAGAGCATCAGCCATGGCTGCTCTCCCAGAATTGCTGGATGCCTGTGAAACTTGCTGGATGTTCCAGTTCCTTCCCACCTACTCTGACCCTTTTGGAAACTCCACTGACTCATCAGTCATCTCATCTATGAAGCTGCAAACTTGCAAAGTTGTTTCAGACGTGTTTTTAATTGGTGAGGACAGTTTTGTTTGTCAGTAGCCATACCAGAGTGTGCTTGAAGATGTTGTTCTCCTTTGTGCTTGTCCACTCTCCCTCTAAGTTGCTTTAGAAGTAACACAATTTGGCAGGTGAACTGAGGACATGACAACTATAAAGCCTAATGAGATGCAAGCAAACCTGTTCAGACAGTAAGTGCTGCAGGATAGGTAAAGAGACTGCAAGAACTGGCATAACTCAAGGGGACATAAATGCAAAGCATGGAATAGATAACATTCTTTCACTGATTGTTTTATGGATTCAGACTTCATGTGGCAACCTTCCACTACTCTGAGTTTCCCTGCTTGAAGCCAGGTTGCGGATGGTTAAATTGTGAAACAGGCAATACTCCACAGAGACATAATTGTTTTTTATTTGGGTTATTCTTGTATCCAACTAGCTTATACTGCTGCCACAGCAGCTATTAAGTTTGCATCTTCTTAAGCCCAATGCAGGTTTTTTCCAACTCCCTCTGAATCAGCTTACCAAACTTATCCCTCAGTACTTGGGTGTGGGATGTCTATTATCCCTCTGCACATTTAACTGACAGATAATTGTTAAAGCAGTTTCTTTTGTTTGAAGGAGTTTCTGCTGCTTGCCTCAGATTTCTCCCCGTGGCATTGTTGTGCATTTTGACTGTTCTGTGTCTTGTGAGTGTCAGAGGTCAATGGTCTCCTGTCAGCTCATAGCTGAACTGAGTACCAGCGAGCTTTAAAACTCATCGTAGCTAAGGCAGATCTCCTCTGTATGCGATTCAACGGATCCATTCACATATTATCTCTGGATTATTGAAAATGAAATAATTCTGCTCAAGTTAAACACGATAGCTTGTTTTGAGATGCTGTTCTGGATGGGCTGACAGAAACTCAAGAATCCTGCATAATCAAACCCACGTTGCTTCAGTTTAGAACATTATTCAGACTGTTCCAAACATTACTGCCTTATGACCTCTCTTCCTCTCCATGCATGAGCTTGCACAAAGTAGATAGACAGAGAGGGATACAGAGAGAGAGAGAGCAAGAGACAGAGAGAGAATGTATTAGATTTTGACCTTTGACTAAAAAACAAACTTTCAACTTTGCTACCCCAAAGGAAATTGATTTGCAGTCAGGAATCAAACAGGGCTCACTCTGGATCTACCAATCCAGGGAAATACAAACATTAAGGATTAGGACCCAGACATGATGTAAAGTGCAAAGTAAACTTTTGTTAAGAATAAAAAGTCCTTTGACGGAAATGCAGATGCTTACATATTTAATGAAGAATGAGTCTTTTTGCAACAACAACCAGACTCTGAGGCACCGTGTCTTTTGCTACATGTTTCTTGCTTCTCTAAGGCCAGTCTGGTCAGGGCACTCTTTTTGGTGGTTTGCTTAAGTAGATGTCATGAAGGTGGTCTTGTCTGTATCCCCATTCACGTTTATCTAGTATTTTAATTTAATCAGTATTATCAATCCATTTGATCTTATCTAGACCAAAAGACTGGATTTAATGAAACAGGATCATTAAAATACTGCACACTCAAAGTGAATCTTTCTTAAAATGAGCTGACAATACTAGACCTCCTTAAAGACAGATTGGAAACCAAAACATGTGTAGTAGAGAAAAATGCCAGTGTCCTTATTCTTGATCTAAGCATGGGCGACTGGGCTGTTATCCTTTAAGGTCAAAAGACACCTTCTCTTGGCATTTATTTCTTGTTCTACTGTCATGATGAATAGAACAGATTTGACAATTATCCCATTTGACTGCGTTTGGGTGAAAATGTATTGCTTCATTTGTACATATAACAGCTTATGGTTTCAGCTGTTAGAACCCAGAAACTACTGTAATTATTCCACATTGCTTATTTATTACTCTGTTAAATTCGAAGTTTATGCCCTGAGGTCTTAAATACCTTTAGATCTGTACATTATGTTTTCCATTGTTAAACCCTGGCTATAAGTCATAGCTTAGCCTATTTACATTCCCATTGCCATGCTAGGGGAGCGGAGGGCAGGCTCTCAAATCTGCTCGACGTCTGCTATGCAAATAAATAATGCCATAAAATGTAATGCTGTGTTTTTCTGCAAGCAATGTCTGGGCAACGGTAAACTCTCTCCACATGTTTAATTAACAAGGAGAATAAAAGGCGAGCTCTGTATGAGTGGCAAGAGCTACAGGAGGCAATTTGGGTTTAGGATCCTCATTTCAGATGCCTGGAATGCTAAGTGCTGAGCGGCTCTCTCTAGCAGCTGGTGGGAGACTGGCTGTGCACAAAGCTCTGATCTTGGCTAATGCTCACGGCAGCACTTTATCAGCATAACATCTAATAACATGAACAGCGGACTGCAAATAAAGCACAGGCTCATTGTAATGAGAGAAAAGCTTCTAGTGGGAGAAACTTCATATCTACAGGGACAGTGATTGCCATGCTTATTGCAAATAGAGTAATTTTACAATGTATATATTTGCACAACAAAAAAAAATCCGCCTTAACAATGGGGAATCTGGTTTTCTTGCTTGCAATAGAAATAAGAGTTAATCAGATCTTTAGCTTGATAGTGTTTCAGCAAAATGCCGTATAACTTGTTTTTACATATGTATATGGACTTTTGGATACTCCCTGAAACGAGAGGAATTGAATGAGAATGCATAACGATCCTACATGATCTCAGGGCATATGTTTTAGCAATGAGAATACATGAATCACTGATGCACTTATTTATGCCAGGGAAGCATTTAAATCGTGATAAATCTGAAGCCGACATAATGCTGCTGGCTGCTGCGGGGTGAGCAGTGCGCAGGTGTCAGCTGTCAGGTGTGCTGCAGTAGGATTATGGGTTAGACTGCGTACCACCCCTATCCTATAATAACACCCACAGAAGCCAGGCCACCTGCCGTCACATCTCACAGGAGCTCGTCTCTTCCGACTCCAAGGAAGCAGGAAGGCTGCACACTTTAAAACCAGCTTCCAGCCACACTAAACCCTGCTTTTCAGCTCGCTAACAACCAGCACTTAACTGAGCCAGACACAAAAGTGCTATCACACTGGCAGAACTTAAGTGTTAAACTGACAAGAGTAAAAGTATGCTGCTGCCATCTGCCATAAGCTTCACCCTAACATAAGTAATTTTGTCTATTTTTTTTTATATACAATGCTAGAAACAGGAATGAACAGAAAGCAGGGGATCAACTTCCGTAAAAGCATGTAAACAATATCTTAGTTAAAGAGACAGAATGAGCTGTGAGCATGAAATACAGGAACACCATATTTCTTCTCTCTGCTTGGTATACATGGGCAGATGGTTCTTTTTTCTTTCTTTCCATTCCCAGCTGATCCCATTGATGTTCTGCGAGTACTGGAGCTGTCAGAGAACATGGAGGGGGTGTCCTTGGAGGCTGGTCTCTGCACGAGCAGGAGGGGCATGGAGGAGACAGACCTGGCCTACAAGATCAAAAAGATCCAGCTCAGCGCTCCCACCAAGCAACTCTTCCCTGGTAGTGAACTTTTTTTTTTTCATTTACAGAATAGCCTTTCAATACATTCCAGCATTGGAATAATTTTAGGATTTCCAGAAACAGCAGAAATGTGTCACATTCTGCTCTCAGTTGAGTCAAGAAATATGACTTTGCTCTCCTTACTCTTCCACCTGGGTACTCTCTGCTTTCATTGGCAATATTTTTCATCATTATTATCTTTACTCAGGTCTGACTAGCAGTGGGTGGTGCTTGCGTGTTATAAAAATGTCTGCTCCCTGCTGTGCTCTGTCTTGTATAACTTAACAAGCCTCCTCTCCTCTCCTCTCCTCTCCTCTCCTCTCCTCTCCTCTCCTCTCCAGATTCCAAATTTCCAGAGAATTTCTCCCTCATGACTACCATGCGAGCAAAAAAGGGCTCCCAGTTCTTCCTGCTGTCAGTCTATGATGACCAGGGGATGCAGCAGCTGGGACTTGAAGTGGGTCGGTCACCTGTTTTCCTGTATGAGGACCAGCACGGGCAGCCCACACCAGAAATGTACCCTATTTTCAAGAAGATCAACATGGCCGATGGAAAGTGGGTAGTTTCAGGGCATATAATTTTTCCAATTGACCAAATATTAATGAAACATCTGCCGTTGTTCAATAGAGCCACAAGCTGTCTAATTAGCTATTGATATAACTGTACGTGCTAGAACTTTCTGAAGCCATGACACCTAAGTGGGCTTCACATTTCTGCAGTCCGGTTCATACATGTCATTCAGCCTGCTGGACCTTGAGAGTCCTTAAAAGAAATATGACGGTTGTAAAGTGCTTGAAGCAATGATTTGACCTGCTCAGAGCAGTTGAGAAAATCAATTCTTCACAGCCCCGCAAAGTCAAAGGTACTTCTGGTTCGACTTGCAAGAGGTGTGAAACAGCATTTTGCAAGACAGATTCTGCTGACATGTCAGACGCCAAATACTTCAACCGCTGCATTTTTAGTAATCCGAGGCTGAACTGTTCTTTCTTTGTTCTTTCAGATGGCACCGCATAGCCTACAGTGTCCTGAAGAAGACCGTGACCCTTTACTTGGATTGTCAGAGGGTAGAGACCCTGGATCTGCTGCGAGGGGACGATGCTGTAGTCAGCACAGATGGAGTCACCGTGTTCGGGACACGGCTGCTGGATGAAGATATATTCGAGGTAGGGCATCCCAAAGTGTAGGAGACTCTGAAAGCAGATAAGAAATTGTTTTGTTGGGTTGTCATACTGTTATCCAGTCCAGTTCCCTGTTTATTTCAGTTCCAGCCGATCTGGTCAGATATTAAATTATTCAAACGCTGTGGCCAAATAATGCACTGAATTGCCAGCAAGTTTGTGTTTCTTTCTGCGTTAGGGAAAACAAGGCAAGTAAATGAGAGTATATATTTTGTGAACTTTGTGAAGACATAGGAGACCTAGTTTCACTGCAGTCATATACAATGCCTATTAGCTGAATCATCTGACAAGGCGCAGTAGGGGATGTCTTCATACCTTGTTTAAATTTGTATGACGTCTTGTTCATTATTTGATTTGTCAGCCTCTCCCACTTCTCCACGTCTAACCAGCTTCACTGCTTTTTATCCAAAACTGACTTTAGCATTTTTATGGCCTATGTTGATTAACATCTCCTCATGCTGCACTAATTATCAAGCATTTCTATTATCAACTTTCTTTTCAATTACTGTCAGGATCAAAACACATCAGGCCTAATTTTAGAGAACAATACATAAACACGTGCTACACATAAATGTGAGTTGTTTTCTTTATAATGTGACGTGCATTGCTTTATAAATTAGATTGTATGTGGCTTTTATATCATTATATAGTCTATAATTGTGTTAGTGAAGTGGTAGCATAAGCAGAATATACAGTAGCATGTATTTTCGACTGTGAAACTTTTACCGCTAACTTGGAAGCGACTTAGGTAAAATTACAGAGGCTATTGGGTGACAGGGGTCCCTTGTCAATCAAGTGCTGCTGGAACAAAGACTGGAAAAGGTGTTTAGGAAGGAGTGGGGATGAAGCGACATGCTGTTCAGACATGTCCAGTCTCATCACTTCCACGGCAAATGCCAAGAAATAACACATTCTCTTTGCTTTTTGCCTTTGTCAGTACAGAACTGTAGGCTATAGATATGCTGATGTGAGTGCAAATGGCCATCTGTTCTTCAAAATTAAGAAACAGGCTTGACTATGAATGTGTGTAGTTTGGTCATATCTTGTGATCCTCTTCCAGGGAAAATACCTGCTGCTGGTGGCTTTTTTGATCTATGAGTAACAGGAGATATATATCACAGATAAAATAATGCTTCAATCATTCCTGCAAGTAACTACCTGAAAGTTTGGATAATTTAATGTTTTTAAGTGCACTTTTTTTCAGTTAATTTGAATATAGGTCCATATCAATATGCATGAAAAGAAATGCCAGAGTGACCAAACTAAACTATGTGAGTGATTCCAGTTCCTTTATGTGAGTGCTGTGACCGTTATTGTCCGAGATCCTTCATCTGTGCTTCCCATGACAATATGCAATCCCTGCTCCATTGTCATTCCCAATGAGGCTCCACTCTAAATCTCTCACCCGCAGCACGAAATAGAGATCGGCTCAAGTCTCTTCCCCTGCCATGTCCTCGGGGCTCTGTGTCTGCTCAGCAATGGAGCAAGAAAAAAAAATGGGGAAAAGAATAGACAGATGCATAAGATTTTCATTCTTGTAGAGGTAAGAGGTGTGCAATCAGGTTCAGATAAATGACCATCTCCCCAATGCCGTGTCCCTCAATGACCAGAGAATATATCAAAGTGTGCAACGAGGAAAAGAAAGTATGAAATTTAAGAAAGTACAGAGGGAGGGTGAGTCTTTATTGGCCTAATAGAGAGAACGCATACTTCTTCACTTTCATCAAGAGAAACAGATGCCCTTGATCCTGACAAGTGAACGCCTTTGGCCTTTAGATTTTGCATGTGTAGTCAATAACTACCTCCATAACCTTGTCCACACCACACAGTACCATCACCTTCACTTTGCCCTAAATTAACCTTACTTGCCCCTCTCATGCTATAAGTTAGTCTCTGCTCTCTCACTATCCTTCCCTCTCAGACACCAACGGCCTTTCCAGTTTTTAAATTACTTTAATTCCCACTTCTGTGAAGAAATGTGTCTCCTTGTGGGCTCTATAAATTTCCCATTTCAGAAGCAATGGAGACCATTTAATCTTTGGCTTTGCTCCAGAAACACTCCCATGCCCTTATTTATCATCTCATCTGAAGAGTTATGATGATAATACCAAATTTGTGGTGATGACTAATACGCCTGTGCATCAGCTCCATCCTTTAGTCCAATCCATGCACTTTTTGTGGTCATGTGTCTGGAAGTGTGCAAGCAATTGAATCTGTCTTAACTTATTCGTTAAATCTTGTTTTCTGTGGGGCAAGTGAAAAAAAGTATTTGTTTCTGTTTTTAGATTTTTCATTGACACAAATGGTGGCAAATTACGAGTTTCATTGTACACATTTATGTACCCATGGCCATAAGTATGTCTGGATGTCTGAACATCAGGGCTGTACACCTCGGGTGAGGCTGGTACCATGGGGAATGAAATCAGGCAGGCTGACCTCTGGGCCTCTGTTCCCAGGCCCTGGTTCTGGGGGAGGAGGCCAGTGTTCCGGCCCAGTTCTCCCACCGTGGGAGCTCAGCGTGGGAGCATGAGGACTGTGGTCAGCCACTAATGTCTCTATTGCTTCCAGATTGCCTACAAATGACTACAAAACTTTGGTGTTCAAACTCAACACTTTGCTTGCGTTTGCAGTAAAGCAAACACTGAGTCTGGTTGCGCTCCTTCTTGGCTGCTGTGTACCCTGTGTGTGTGCCTCCAACACGCCGACTGCCTCGATAAGATCCAGCCCCAGCATTTATTTGTTAGGAAATCCAAATCCTTTCAGTCTAAATTAGTCCAGGAAATAAGAATAATTTTGGCTCACTGTTACAGACATGTTGAAACAATGTCTTGTCGAGCATATCATTAAAGCGCATGTTTATTTTAAGTACTTAGCGACCACATTAATTTGCCACAAATATTAGAGAAGCATAATAAATTAGTGAAGGTCTGTTTCGGTCATGTTTTGCCTTGTAGTCAGATGTTTTTGATTAGTTGTGAGCATCTGTTGCACTTTCAGCAAATAAGGAGCAAAATACTATTCAAATACGGTCAGTGCGTTACAAACTTTAAACGGGTTAAGTAAGTTATTTTTTGAGAGACTGAGATCTGATGAAGGCATGAGAAAAGATCGGACACCTCCTCAGAACTATTTGTTATTTGTATTTTGAAGAAGTAGTGAGACTGTTGGCTCTCTGGCACGACAACACCTTACTGGAGACAGCAGGGGAAAGCAGAGCAGTCACTCCTTGAAACACTAATGAGCCTTTGCCAACAGAGCCATGTGTGACCTCATGAAAGATTTTCGTGACCCATCAGAAATCTGTGGATTCAGCTGAGGTGTTTTCCTTATCAGCAGGTTCCTTGCATGTCCTCCTTAGATGTCCTGGCCCCATCCTAAATAGAGAATGGCGTTGCACAAATGATTTTAGGCAACACTTTACTCATGTGTTTCTAGGGGAGCGGGCCCCTGCTAGGTAAGAAAAACAGGAAAACTTCTCTGTGAAGCCATTGCCTTTGATCTCAAATTGAGATTGGATTAGATTGGATTAACTCCCCATTGCCGTTTTCTCCCCCTCTTTCTGTCTCTCACCTTTGAGTGCAATAATTTCCTTTGCTTGACACTGGCTTTTGGCCAAGACAGGAAGAAAAAAAGGATAAGCAGATAGCGACTTCTTTCATGTTTGATTTATTAAAGCATAAATGAATGCTGAGCAGTCATTCCTAGGTTTACAGTTGTGTGCACGGTTATCAAGACTTTGTGTAGACATGCATTGCTTAAGAAGCGTGATTTGAGCTGCATTGGAAGATATATGAACCGGTTGTGTAACAGAGAAGCGATATGTTTGGATTTATTTCACCTCTGGCCACTAAAGCCTAATTAAAGAGATTACAATGAGCCGATAATTACCACAACATCAAACAGTTAATCTAACTTAATTTATCACAAATGGCTGCCCAGACGTCCCTGGACAACATTTCACCCGGTAATATGTTTGCTTTAGCACGTCAGTTACATGGATTCGTATCGCTAATTTAATCTAAACCTTGTCGTAACACTGTGCTGTGGGGCTGCCTGCATTTTGTTTGTATTCAATTACCATTTGACTTCTAACAGAAATTAGAACTGCAGCTCCTAATTGTTGTTTACTATCAAATAAGCCTTTATAGTGCATTAGTCATTCCACGAATTAGAAGAAAATAAAACTAATATTCCTATTACAATGTATTTTACACAAACTTGTTTGGTTGGAATCATTGTCCTTAAAAATAAGACTTATTTTATGGTGATAATTAAAGTATTGTGTTTGTTATTTTTCTTGATAAATGACTAAATGATGAGTCAGTTAGCTTTCTTATGAATGATAAATCAATTTATCTTCTATTCTTTTCAACAATACAAAGAATTATGCCTTAATATGAAGCGAACAAACAAGTGATGTTGAGTGTAGAGTCACTGGGGCCACCAGAGGCTCTGGCCTCAGTGCTGCAGCGTCCAGCAGTACTGTCTCTGTGCATGTTTGTATACACTCTGGCTATGCCTCCAGGGCAATATGGTAGGGGAAAGGTCCTGACAGGCGAGCAGGAGAGAACTATTTGGCAGTTTCATGTACACAGTCAGGCCCTTTCTGGAGTTATGGGAACACAGAAACAAAACATTCAGTAGCAGTTGTTCCAGCAGTAGCCGTTTAATGATGCTGCTGCGTTACACTTTGCTTTACATCGGGCTGTGCAGCCGGTTTTGTTGTTCTCTTGGTCTGTGATGCTGTAGTGTGTTGTTACAAGTTCAGTCCAAAATGTGCTTGGACTGAGTAATAGCAGTTGCTGTATGTTTTTGTCAGTGCTCTAGTGAGGTGATTCCTTTCTGTCTGCTCCTCTGGTTTATTTCAGGGAGACATCCAGCAACTTCTGATTGTGGAAGACCCCCAGGCTGCTGCCAGCTACTGTGAAAACTACATACCAGACTGTGACTTTGCTTTGCCCTACAACAGCCAAGCTCCGGAGCCGCAGAAGGCAAGTAATGCCACTAAGAGGAGGCAGTGTATAATGGAAAAACTTGTGTATTTATTTTATTTTTTTTTTTTACAGTTATTCCACAGTTTATATGATAAAGCAAAACTTTAAGTCTCATGTCAGTTAACTGGACAGACATGGTTTGTGTGTTGTTGTTTTGTTTTTTATCACAAAGACCTGGGAATTTTGATTAACTGTATTTAATGTTTTGTTGTGTTTTCCATGTTTCTTTAGGTGGGGCTCCTCATTTTATGATAAGGTTTAAGCAATATGATGAGCTGCTACTTCTTGCACAGATGTCAGGTGCCTCTGGTGGCTAAATCGGGCCTGCAGAAGCCCTGACTTCACAGCCAACCAGTAAAAGGAACACAAACATACCTATCAATAGAGTTACTGTATGTGTTCCAAAAGGTCTAGGTGTTTGCAAAAAAAAAAAAGTGATTTGAGAGATTAAAGCATAACAGGCCATCATTCAAAGTAAAAGTGTCTTCTTTCAAATGAAGCCAGCAGTTAAACATTTCTAAGGTCACGTGTTCTTCTGGAAAGACACACAGAGAAAGAGAGAGAGCCAGAAGTCTATAATTCAAATATGATATAGCAGCTCTTCCTTTCCTCCAGGCATGTATAAAAAATGTATCTTTCATGGATATGAATGACTGCATATGTCTTTGGAAAGATAGAGATAAGGATGCAGATGTGTGTGCGACTGAGTTGCGTGGAATACACAGTTTCACCCGGACACTTAAATGTTGTCTTTTTTATGTGTATGCCACATGCATACCCTCATATGTGTGCATACTAATGCGAGTGCATGCTAGAATGTGTCAGCACACAACATGGTGTGCAAGGACATTGATAAGACTCCAAGGATGGATCATTAATGGGAGTGTGAGACTATTTCGTTAGTCATCCAGCTGGCTTTAATAGAACTACAGCTGAGCAATGAGCTGTGATCCAGAACATGTCAACAGCTGTCACCCCACTGACCTACTTCCCATCATTCTCTCTTACAAACCGACCTTGTTTACAAGTGGATCTAAATCACTGATGTCTTTCACAGATCTTCAGCATGGTTTTTAGGCACAGGTCATTCGTATCACTGACATGCAATGGACATAATGTGCATTTGCTCACTTGCCAGAGCACACAAAGAATTAGCACCTTGGCAGCCTAGCAGCACAGACAAAGCGACCTCTGACCATACATGCAAATATATCTTCCACTTTGACCAAGAGGAAGCAGCTCTAAATGTGTTTGTTCCTTCTCATTTCATGTTTGCTTTAGGTTTTTACCAGCTCAGTGGGAATCCCAGTGGGTGTCTGACCCTTTTACGGGTGTCACAGGACCTGTATGCATTGCTTGACTTTCCTGAAGCAGGCTATTTCCTTTATTGTGTTTTCATTCACAACAGTGTCTGTTTTTTCCCCATCCTCCACCTGTGCCCTCATTTTTACATTCCACTTTTTCATAAAAGAACTCCCAACTTGATGTCTTGATGCAAAGTGACCAACCAGCTGAACCAGTGGAGGGCTCCAAAAAGGACAGGAAAGGCAAAAAGAACAAAAAGAAGAGAGATAAGGGCTCTAAAGGCAAACGCAAAGGCAAGGGCAAGAGGGGATCGAGGAAGAGAAAACATGAAGAGCAAGGCGTTGAGGACAGCTTTCTCAGAGCGTCCACAACACTTGCTGGGTATCAATCGCAAGAACCTTTCCAACCCACGGATCTGCCAGAAATGAAGAACGCCCTAGAAACTGTCATTCCCACTGCGGTCTTCGACAGCACCCTCATGGAGATGCCCACACGTGAACCTGACTTCACAACCGAGGCCCCCACCGTGCTACATACGACACTGCCTGTGTCAAAGGTTACGGAGGAGGTAGACAAATTCACCTGTAGATGTCGTCTACCCCAACCCCCTCCCATCATCTGCAGTTCTAACCAATCACTCCCCTAATACTCCCTAACCATAGAGAGCACCCCTTCTTCCTCTCACCTCTCCAGTTGCTTACCACCACTAACAAGCACCATCCTAATCATCACCTCCTTTACATCCTTGCCAGAAAAACAAAAACAAAAACAGAAAAAACGATGGAGAATGCATCTTACGTGAAAAAATGGATGATTTCAGTATATGCTTTACGGCTGTGTGTTTTTTGGAGAACATGCAGCAGTAGATTTTTACAATATATCCAGTAAGCAAGTCAAATACTGTGTATGTTTTAATGTATGCAAACTGGTTTAATAGTTCAGTTAATATTGTGAACAGATGCCAGTTAAATTATTTAAAACATACAACATATGCTGGTATAAGTACACCACAAAAACTTTGTGTAGTATTTTAAATCAGTTTTTCACTTCCCACTATAACAAACAAGCATTTTTTTTTGTGTATGTCTCCCTCATGCTTATTATTTGCTAATTTGCCAAGTAAACTAATTTTTCATGCTCATACTGTTTGTGTAGCAGTTGCAGTCTCTGCTGTGCTGCCACATGAATCCGATGTAGTCCGTCAGCTAATTACACACCAGCACTGTAATTAACTGCACACCTGTCAGCCTGTGTCCCGGATAACCAACACATTCTCATAAAAATCCACCTGTTTCGCTAACATTCATATTGTACGTTGTGAAATGTGCTTTTACTTGGAGGCACTATGTGGCACGGAAGAGTGCTCAGTGCCCCCTGGTTCATCTTTGCTATGACTCACTTAAAACCGAGTGTTGGCCTGCAGGGTGAGGCGCCAGTGAAGAAGCCGGTGGTAGAGGAGTATGGAGATGACCTTTATAGAGACCTATATGATGATTTATCAGTTTCCACAGTAACGACGGGCCCGAATGTTACTGAATATGAGGTAGGTTAAATGCAAATACAAGAAATGTCTTCACCTGAGAACAGAAACACCGGGAGACTGGTTTGGTATTCACGACACCTGCTGCTAATGGATTTTTTTTTCAATCCTTTAACAGTTTCTTGAATATGAAGATCTCAAGAATGACACAGAGTCAGAGTATGAAGAGTATGAAACGTACGAGGATTTTGAGTTTGCGGAGCGGGAACAAGCCGAGACGTGGGATGTAGAGGTAAATCTCAAAGTGAACTAGTACATCAAGTGAGTGTTCGCGTTTTCAATTGCCTGTGTCAGGTGATTTCTGACAATCCACATCTCTTTATCTGTTTCTCCTCCTCAGGCTACCCTCAGAGCAGAGAAAGGCCAGAAGGGAGAGCCAGCTATTATTGAACCGGTGAGCTGCTGGAGGCATTTAATGAAGAGAAGAGAAGCTTTAGTTATGAGTATGGAAATGACTTGATACTCTGCAAATATACCTTTCAATCTGTCTGTGATTGTTTCTAGGGCACATTAGTGGAAGGCCCCCCAGGCCCACCAGGGCCAGAGGTAAGCACGCCTGTCTGAAATGACCAGATGTGAATGAGTACGTGGATCTGAATACAACTATTGTGTTTTTGGATAAAGTAAACATATCCTCCTACACCATAGTGATGTCTGTGTGATGATATCTTTCCTTGTTTCTTTTGTTTGCATATACTAACACACTATGAGGTGACCCCTACATCATTACAAACAAATCAATGAGGAGATTTTAAGGCTACATGAAGATACTTAATAGGGATTATTTTTATCGAGCATTTGGAGGATTAGAATGCGATTATCATTTCATTAAAGTTACACCATGGTAACGTTCTTTGTTGTTTATTTGAGTGTGGTGAACGTTTCCTCCCCAGGGACTTGCTGGCCCAGCTGGACCAACAGGAACTCCAGGACCCAGGGGAGATCCCGGTGAATTGGTGAGTGTGGTTTAGAACCTGGGCTCACCGGTTAGATGTTGAGTGGGTTGGTTTGACCTCAGTTTGACCCTTTCACCTGAGGGAGACGACTGTGGATCTGTGACAATGAGCTGAAACATGGGATCGCAATGTCCTAGTTTGTTGAACTGAACCTGCTGGACTTCAGGGATGGATGTTGACTCACACATGTGTGACCTGATTTTCTTATTTTGTATGCGAGTATGATTGCTCGATTAAGTGTTTTTTGTTCATGATTCATCACACTGAAACACAAGCCAACACACGCGCACACACACACACACACACCTACACACACACACACACACACACACACACACACACACACACAGATGGATATTTCCTAGTAGTTGATGGGTTTTTATCATTTTGCTTAGCAAATATAATTATGGAAGTTTATTACCATACAGATGCCCAAGGCTTCCAAGCTCTCACATTCAGTAGCTGTACACTCTTCCATTAGCTATTTATAGTTCAGTTTAAGCACACTTAATAAACATGCAAACCTACTGAATCTCCTAATATGAAATCAAAACTGATGCAACAATGGTGAAGACTGCAGTAGGTAAGCACAGGATAAGCAAATGCGACAACAAATCATCTCCTCAGCTATTTCATTAAAATACATGTGAACAGCCTTTAATTTATCCTGAAACTGAAATAATCTGAAGAGGGCTTTATCTATTATATTTAGTATTATCATTGGATCATTTGCACTTGTACAGAGACAGAATATTTACAGGGTAATTTCAGCAGTGTAACTTTACCACCAAGCATTAAAAAACAAAACTCTTTAATATTTATTTATCAAAGATATGTATAATTTAGAAGCAGCAACAGCCTTCAGATTCTCCCAATTCCCCAAACATATGTATTGTAAATATTACATGTAAACACATAGAGTAGAAATTTTACGATTGTTAATGCTGCAGTGTGACACTCGATAACAGAAGTCTGTTCAGCACTGGTTGAAACTTAAATTAGCTCACATCTCTTATGTGCTGTTATGCCTTCGGGTACATCTTGTCCACGTATGTGTCATTAATCATCACTGAAAGGCATTTCGTTACGTATTCAGGATGTATATTTAACCACCAAAATGCTCACAGTGGAGGTAACATGGTGAAACATTTTTCCACTGATGTTTCTCTTTTGTCGAAAGGTTCATGGATGTGTCAGGTTTTTTTTTTGACAAAAGGCGGATCCAAGAAAGTTCCCACTGATTCAAAAAAAAACATTTCCGACTCTGAAATCTGTATGACTCAATGCTACATTTAATGACTTCCTCAGATGTGTATTTACAGTGTGTCAACAGATATGAGGCAGCGTGTGTGTGTGTGTGTGTGTGTGTGAGACATGCTGTATAAATAGAGCAAAGGTTGTTTTCGCAAAGATTAGATAGTGATGTTTTTCTCCCCATTTAGCCTCCAGGTCTTGCCTTTTCTTTCTCTCTTACCTACACATATAACACACACACACACACACACACACACACGCACACACACGCACACACACGCACACCTGCACACACAGTCATGCCTCCATCGCTTCAGAGGACACTGCATTAACCTACATTTCCTTGGATTTTTCTAACTTTAATTTTAAACAATGTACTTGCCTTAAAATGTACATTATGGTTTTTGTCCTCAATAGTAGATGAGTCCCCAGAACCTGAGTAAAACCCACACACACTCACCACAAGCATGGTAGCTGATACTTATTCCTTTTCCTATCGCTTTTTAGGGTCCCCCCGGACGTCCTGGTCTTCCTGGGGCTGATGGGATTCCAGGTCCTCCAGGAACACTGCTGATGCTACCAGTAAGACTTTAAACCACAGTGAAACATGCACTTTTTTCCCCCCAGTGTGGTGTAGTGGCATGACCACAAGGGGGGGCTGTGTGATTGAACTTCATTTACATTTGGGGAATCCTGCAGTGGGTACTGACTCCTCCTTTTCATTGCCACCAGTTCCAGTATGGAGGTGATTCCCAGAAGGGACCAGTGGTGTCTCCCCAGCAGGCCCAAGCACAGGCCATCCTGCAGCAGGCCCAGGTACACGTCACAGAAACCCACACTTTGGTGTCATCATGATGTACTATAACATCTGTGATGATCACAATGTAATTTTATGCTGTAGGAGGATCGTTTGTACTGCATATAAAAAGTCAACAGGGACCTCGTTCAGCTTACATAAACCACATGGTTGTATTTTTCTTACAGCTGTCACTCAAGGGGCCTCCAGGTCCGATGGGGCTGACAGGGCGACCAGGCCCACTGGTAAGGCGCTTCTGTGACCTTGACCAAATTTACATCATACCTCACGGGCTCCTCCACCCTCTAACCTCAACCTTGCATTCTGCCTGACCAGGCACAAGCTCTGCTCCCTCCCCCTCAGACCTCTCAGTATGAATGCTCAGTATAAATTGCTTGTGAAATCTGCTTTCATTAAAGAAAAAAGTAAAAAGACAGATCCTTTGTGTTTTGTTTGTTTGGTGCTATATTTGAATCAGGATTTGACTCGCCTTTCCTCATCCTGACATGCAGAATGACGTTTTGTTTTCCTTTTGTAGGGTGTTTCAGGTCCCTCGGGGCTCAAAGGAGACCAAGGAGACAGCGGCCCTCCTGTAAGACCTAACATCATTTCTACCTCACTACTTGCTTCTATCACACCAGACTTTTTTTTTGTTATAATATTGATTTTCTTTTGTTCACTTTCCTTTTTGCACCCGTTTCCATTTGTCTTGCTCTCTTCATTTCTCATGTAGGGAACACGCGGGTTGCCAGGTCCTGCTGGGATTAACGGAAAGGCAGGCAAGAGGGTGAGATACCTTGAGTATTGCAGATTTCCACGCTGAAAACCTTTCTATCAGCATTTTGTGTTAAAGGCGCACTGTGCCTGATGTACTGTGAAGCAGAACCTATGTTAACTGGATTGCATATTTGTAGGGGCGTGCAGGAGTGGACGGAGGTCGTGGAGCTCCAGGTGAAACAGGCTCTAAGGTAAGACCTCACTGCACTGCAATCACATGATTCTCATCAAAGTGAGCTGCATCAAGAACCCACTAATTTTTGCGATCCTGCATTCTGTATTTACTTCCTTTATACCTGTTTAGGTTGGTGTTTGTGTGAATGCTACATTGGCAGTTGTTAGACCGCATTATTGTTGTTGCTGTTAACTTTCCTTGAATTCAGTTTTCTGTTTCCATGAAGACAACAACACCACACACATTTAGGCAAGGTCTTATACAATAACAAACTATCTCCACTTGCAAGTGTAAGCCTTTAGGTATCAAGCAGCCCCCAGCTTATTATATGTTATTGACAACGAGGCAACTCAATACATAACAGCTGCAGGAAGAGCTTAGTAAATAAATCAGTCTCCCCTGATGCTGGGTCTGACAGAACAACAGAGTCTTTATCAGTCAAACCAGCATTTTAGCAGACCTACAGCTAATCTGAAAGCTCGCTCTCCCAGAAACACACTCAGAGCAGATGGGAGGCTCTGCCAGGGGAGACTTTCAGTACAATTCTGCTAATGTTTACACATTACCGTATGTGTGTGTGTTTCAGGGTTTAATGCACTTGCTTCTCTATTACTTCTCAGGGTGACAGGGGCTTTGACGGCCTGCCAGGTCTCCCAGGAAACAAGGGACACAGAGTGAGTTAGATTTGGTAACTTGACATCGTCTCTGTAATTTTTCAGTCATTCCACCATTAACGTTCTAACACGGCATGCATGAATACCTTACACATCAAATGGCAGATGTTTATTTGCATATTATAATTATGATGATTGTTGTGATTTCTGTGATGACAGTGTAAAAGCCTCTGCTTGTTGCTGCTCTTCTATAACAGCACAGTCATAAGTTTCTGGAGTCTTGTGGCTAATGCTTTTATCTTGTAGGGAGACAGAGGAAAGCCTGGTCCTCATGGGCCTGTCGGAGAGCCAGGAGAGAAGGTGAGTGCACAATTTACAAAATTCACTTGCAAAAAACCAATACCCAGAAATCATTCCTGGAGCAGTGTTTTGTTTTTCCCAAATTTGCCATCATGCAAGGTTAAAAGGGAAATCCCTTCCAGATCACTGAATCAACTCTATAAACCATTTCGATAGTAAAGCACAACAGATCTAAGCAGACTTTACTGAAATGTAGTCATAAACTCTTGCATTTTTAATTCTGCTATGAAGGCTGGAGTTCATTCAGTATCAAGGTTTGCAAAAGACATGAAAGCTAGCCAATGCATCCCTGACATAGAATTGAAAATATGAAAGATAGAAGCTCTGTCAGAGTAATATTAATCAATGCAGGCGGGCGAATGAAGTTTGAGAGGGCGGTCTATTAGTCTTTGCTCGAAGATAGTTGAGCTTTATCTGTCAGGCAGTGAATTTCTTTAATGAGCTATTTTCACAGATTATGTCTGTGGGGATATAAATGTAACCACGCCTGAGGTTGAAGCAGAGAGGTGCATGAGATCTATGCGTTGAATTTAGTTTCCTTCTTATTTATTTTAGGGATCTGATGGACCTGTGGGGCCGAGAGGACAACCAGGCGAACCTGTGAGTATCTACATCCGGAGGGACACAATGCTTACTCATAATGCACATGTGTAGCATCACAGCACGCTTCTTCATGGAAATAATGTGTATTGTTGCTCTACATAAAAAAGAAACACTTTTATAGGGAGTATACACTCTCTGCTCTTTGCTTTGGGCTTAAAGAAATATATTGTACCATAAAGTCTTATTTTTTTTTGGTACAGAAACATTGAAAGTGATTTCCACAACAAAACCTGAGGCGATTCTTGGTGAACACTGGATTTAAGCTCTAGCTGTAGTTTCTGCCAAAATCATACAACAGAACTTACGTAAATATAAAAAAAAATCCTCACTAGAGAAAAAAAAAAAACTCATATTGCTCATGTACAACTGCAAGGGAAACAATGAGCCATATTTTGAGGTACCTATGGAAAAAAACAAAGATGTTCACGCCTTGTTAATGCAATGCTGCCACAGTGTTCATGTTATCATTAAGAGAGAAAGGTCACTGGAGAAAGGCATGAAGCTGCTGTATATTCCAATTCTGTCATAGAGATGGCTGCTACTAGTTATGCTTGTGGCAGTTCTCCTTTGTTTTTTTTAATTTTCTTTTGGTTCATTTTATTTAATTTATGTTCACTCTTGGTCTAGAAGGAGGAATGACCTTTCATTACTCATGGTAACCAAGTGCATGATAGCATGATAATAAAGAAATCCTAAAACTTAGGATTCTACCTCGAAAGTAGTTTTGGATCATTACAAAACCACAAGGACACCACTGCTGTTGTTTCTGTGGATCTGCAGTGAACACTGGTTAATTGGCTATGACTCATACTCTTATTTTTCTCCCAGTAGGTGAGGTTAGAGCTCAGCAGGGTTCTGTCCCTCCGAATGCATGACCCAGTGCAGGAAGAAACAGCGTTGCCGTATAACATTTTTGGAAAATTGTGTTGGGCGACAAAAATGCAGGAAGGGAGAGGAGCTAGCTGTTTTGACTTGAGAAAGGTAGTGATGGGAAAAGTCAGACAGTAAGAGACAAACGCAGGATAGAAATTTGGTTGGTGGTGAATGAGATAAGAGAGATGGAAAGAGGGAAGAGAGAGTCGGAGAGGGAAGAGATAAAATCCTGGCCTGAATGATTATATTTCCATATCAATCACTTCCCAGGAGATCACAGATGTGGCTTTGGAACAGGTGGCTTGGCCAGCCTACAAAGAGGGAGGCTGACAAAAACAGAGCACACAAACACACTCACGGAAACAGGCTAGCGCGGTCTCAGTGGCTAGCACTTACAAAACGGATGCATGCACACACACACTCAAATATATTATCTGTCTCTCCCTGTTTTTCACTCACTCTCTCTCCTAAGTTTTGATTTGTGATTTAGTATTCACCACTCATTCAATCTCATCATGAATGCAGGTTAGGTGCTGACTATTTGCTGTGTTTTCTATCCAGGGTTCTCGAGGTCTTGTTGGGCCAAGGGGGCCACCTGGCCCACCTGGCCAACCGGTAAGTCAACATCGCCTTGATTACAGGATCAGAGCTATTCAGTCTGTCCAACTCAATAAAAGGTTCTCCAGTACACAGGATTATCAACATGCTTCTGAAGACAAAAAAATAAATAAAAATGTTCAACTGTCTCTCTTTTTCTATCTAACTCTGACATCACATTCATGATTATCCATGTGCATTTTTGACAGGGAATTCGTGGAATTGATGGAGTACAAGGGTCAAAAGGCAACCTGGTCAGTCTGGGTATCTTAATCATCACATTATGTCACAACTACCATTATGTACCAAACACCAATGGTTACAGTAGTTGTATGAAAATGTGTAAGTGGGTTTTCTAACAGTGAGTTAGTCTGACCTTGTGATGAACCGCTGCCATGTGATACAAGCTTATGACAAAGATCATGTGGCGGCACGGTGTGTGATCACCAGTGTTTCTTGTTCTCAGGGTCCTGCTGGAGAAATAGGGCCCCCCGGTCAACAGGGCAATCCAGGAGCGCAGGTACCGTATCAAGACAGAAAAACCATCCTATCACTATGGGACTAAACCTCATCATTACACAACCTGTGAATTTATTGACGCGTACACAATCAATTGCCAGACAGTTACAGTCACTCTATTCCCCCATGCTTCCATCCATCCATCCATTGTGTATACACCGCTTAATCCTCACTAGGGTCGCGGGGGGGCTAGAGCCTATCCAAGCTGACTCAGGGTGAAGGCAGGAGACACCCTGGACAGGTCACCAGTCAATCACTGGGCTACACTTAGAGACAGACAACCAAGCACACTCACATTCACACCAACGGACAATTTAGAATCACCAATTAACCTCAACATGTTTTTGGACTGTGTGGGAGGAAGCAGGAGAACCCAGAGAGAACCCACACTGCACAGGGAGAACATGCAAACCCCACACAGAAAGATCCCGGGTGTCCTCGCCGGGATGCAAACCTTTTTGCTGTGAGGCAACGGTGCTAACCACCGAGCCACCTTCCAGCCCTCACCTATGCTTCTTGCATTTTTTATTTATTTACGTATTTTTACATCTGCTTGCTTTTCTATACATCTAGAAATTTTACTGGCCTTTCGAGCAGAAAAAAACACTTGCATGACACTAAAATGTATTCCATAAAGAAGACAATTCTTATTAGCTAATGAAAGCTTTTGAAGATGTTTTTATCCAATGACAGCAAATACAATTTTACAATCCTAAGACATTACAGTCATATACAGTAAAGTAAATCATATTTTTAGTTTTCCAGCATGTCAACAATACATCTGCCCACACGCATGGTTCATGACTCTTACTTAAACACATAACTCATTCACACACATACAGAATCAAATGAAGTCTAGGTTCCCAGCTGTCTCCTAATCTTGTGACTCTTAAACTGATTGATGCTTTGTTTTGTTCTAGGGCTTGCCTGGTGCTCAGGGTCCCATCGGACTGCCAGGAGAGAAGGTAGGTAGCATGTCTCTCACTTAATTTTAGAATTAAAGCTGCAGCTTTGTGACCCCTGTCATCACATACCCAAGGGAGGCACACTGAGCAGGACAGTATGACCCAGCCACTTTTGGCTTCCATTCAGACGAGACATGGCTAGACAGGAAATCAATACTCAAGAAACACACACAGGCTTTGCAGACACTAGGGACGGCCTTGGCTGGTGCACATCATGAGGCCAAACTGATAAAAGAAATAAAAAATGGAGTTATTCATAAATATAATATGTAGCAGTGAAGTGGGAAATGTGGTCTCTTAGGTATGAGGTAGGGTGTTATATATGTGAAGCTTAACTCCAGTATTCATACCTCTTTATGTCCTATACAGGGTCCCCAGGGGAAACAAGGTATGCAGGGACTGCCAGGTGTTGATGGGCCTCCCGTAAGTAACCTCATGCACAAATACATAAATGCATGCGTTAGCACAAACACAAAAATAAACATGCAAGCGTCTGTGCATGCCTTCGCTCATGCAGTATCGATGCACATTTACTCAGAGAGTTTACTTCATCAGTCAGCTCAGTGCTCAAGTGACAAGACAACTCCTCTACATCAACTGATTTACTGCACTTTATTCAAACATTGCATTTTGGCACAGGTTGTTCATCAGTTATCCAGAGATGGCTAGACCCCCGATACCACTCTGTACAGTGTTAGATGCTGTATCTCAAGCACAGAAACCTTAGAAATACAAACTCATATCATGCTATACAGACAACAAATGCAACCAAACAAACTGTGCATGTATACACCTGAATGTTTACATAAACTTCATACAAAGAGAGTAGAATTTGTGACATACATTTTCTGTGATTTGCCAGCAGGGGGACGCAGGAGGCTTTATTTAAGGATTAATCTAAAGCTGTTTGACATTTCGGATGAAGTGAAAAATCTTCTTACAGTGACACTTTCCTCATCGCAAAAATTAATTTTAGCCATTTGAATGAGTTTTCCGTAGTTCTCCTTGTATTGTTCTACAAAGCTTTATGACGCTCAATGATGCTCTATGGTGCTCACAGTGCCACTGGGAATTCCTCTTTTTTATTGGTTGGCTGCATTCAGAAATTTATATTGAGAAATGATGTAATAATGATGTATCTTGCTGCAGTGCTAAGTCAGTCAGATATTTGTTGTCTTGCTTCAGGGTCACCCAGGAAGAGAGGGCTCCCCAGGAGAAAAAGGCGTCCAAGTGGGTAACTGCATGTTATAGGAAGATCCTAAAATGGCAGTTTTATGTTGCTTTTTGCAGTGCATTGTAGCTGCGCATTCACTCACATTAAGGCTCATCATTATGATCATTGTGTTCCAACCATGTCATCATCTTTATTACACCAGAGTATTAGCCCATTAGAGTCAGACTCGTCAAATCATGTGCTTTTTCCTGTTTCTTTTTTTTCTGACAATAATGGATGGGACACAGTGAGTGAGTGCAAAGATTGTTCATATCTGGTCAGAGAAATGCGTTTCTGCTGGCTGCTGCTTACTAAAACAGAAGCACTATTATTATTATTACACTGTTGTTGTTGTTTTTCACGTAGGGTTTATCAGGTGCTATGGGGCCTGTTGGATACCCAGGGATGCGTGGAGTCAAGGTGAGACAAAAAATGCATCATGATCTCCGGTGTAATGTCCACCGATATATTTATTCCCTTGCACATTCCATCTGCTCGTGTGTCTGCTTGTGATGGACAGGCTGTTTGAGTCTATGACTGACAGGTGACAGGTGGAGGGAGAGCACCTCGGTTCTCAAGGGGACTACTAACAACAGAGTGGGGAACAGTTGACGGATCGGAGAAATGTCAGAGTCAGATAGAACGGAGCTCTGTGCGTAGGAGTGGAGCGGTCCATTTTGACTCAGTGTGCTTTTGAAAACGACGACTAGAAAGTGAACTTGTCATGAAATGGCATTCTGCTTGGTGCTTGTTTTTTGTTGCGTGCACACAGGTCTGGGGCGTTATCTTGAAGTGTGGCTCAACATCGTCAAATCACATCAGATTAGAGGAAGCTTGACCTTGTTGGCAGTCATTAGTATGAAATGAGTGCAAGGTCAATAACTGCTCGATTCATGTCAAGAGAAAATCAATACAAGTTTGAAAATGATTTCTGTCTTTTAAGACGATGTTCACAATGTTATTTCTGAAGAATGCAGGGGAATTATGCACACGATTTCATCTCCATATTTTTCCTGAGAGTAGGCTTCTATTTTAATTAATAGTTGTTTTCTCACCTTTTCGCAGGGAGCAGATGGAGTTAGAGGTCTGAAGGGGAGCAAAGGAGAAAAGGTGAGTGAAATGGATAGTGAGCTTTTACGCTGCTGCTTGTGGCCAAGCTGTGGATTGCAACTTTAAGGAAACTTGAAAGATTATATTATAACGATGCCATATAAAAGCAGTCATTATACATCATCTCTACTCAATGCATTACAGGGAGAAGATGGCTTCCCTGGGTTCAAGGGTGACATGGGCATCAAGGGAGACCGGGTGAGCCTGCCCTCTAATTGCAAGCCCAAGTATCATATTTTCTCAGTCTTTCGGAGGAGATAAAATTGTCACTTTCATTCTACTCTCATCACTGGCTTAAGGGTGATAACGGAGCTCCCGGTTCTCGTGGAGAGGATGGACCAGAGGGGCTGAAGGGTCAAGCAGGGCCCTTGGGGGATGCAGGAGGTCCGGGGATAGCTGGCGAGAAGGTACATTTATAAAAAGTTACATTTACACTGCAAGACAAGACAAGCTTTGGACACAAAAGAGGAGGAGAGCAAAATCAAACAGGCAAATTAGGTAACTCTTATCTAAACCTCCATAATGCTGCAGAGACCTGAATATTAGGTACCGACGTTAGACTTCTTTTGCTCAGTTTTCAGTTGTGACAAAAGTTTCTTATACAATGACTGGTTTATAGTCGCCGAAATACTGAACATATGGACTTTAATGCCCTCACATTTATTGCATCTGATTATTGCCCAATCCTGCGGCAAAGCTGCCACAGGACCGTGTGTGTAGGCATTTCATCTTTATGTCATCACGAGAGGCGTTAATTTAGAAAGATCTTGTCATGTCAGCACATGCATAGTGTACAGTATGTCGTAGTATCTTAGATGAATGGTTGTGTACAATTCTTCTTGATATGTGTCTTCTTTATTTTGTCTGTCCCTCTTCTATCTTTCACTCAACAGGGTAAACTTGGTGTGCCTGGTTTGCCAGGATACCCAGGAAGACAAGGTCCTAAGGTGATTTAACGTTGATGGGTTATTATGACCACTTAATGCGTCCTCAGGTTCTTTTATCAGAGCTTTAAGCAGCAAGACGTGTGTCTTTGGCCGGACTGTTTCCTGTCTGATTAAAAATAAAGGATGATGAATGGCATATTAAAAAAAAGGCTATTTTATTTATAGTTCATTAGTGACATCAATTTATTACATGTTGATGAATGGTGTATTTAAGACTGTGTTGGGCCCATGGATTAGATTTGCTTTAATTTGATACAGTAGTTAATTATAACTTAATGAGACGTTTGGGGTGATGTGTGATGAATGGGGGTCTGAAGCTGATTAACCTCGACTTGTGTCTCCAGGGATCACTTGGTTTCCCTGGTGGGGCCGGGGTCCCAGGAGAGAAAGGACGAAGGGTGAGGCCTGCACTCAAATTTTAAAGAATATGTGTGTTTTTCTATAGAAAATACTGTTAAGTACGTGATTGAAAAATAATTGTTAACCTTTACCATGCAGGGTCCAGCCGGTCAGTCAGGCCCTGGGGGTCAAAGAGGTCCCAATGTGAGTACAGCTAGAGGTGTCATGCCGGCACAACATGTTTTAGCATATTGACTCCTAATTAGATACCATCAGTTTACCATACCTTCTGGGAGTCACTCACATTGTTACATCACCGCAATGTTTTTATATCACCACGTATTTATCTTTCACCTCCTGATGAGTCGTGAATGTGCTAATCAGCCTGCTGTTTGTTTTTCGATAGGGAGTCCGAGGGGGACGAGGTGCAAAGGGGCCCACTGGAAAGCCTGGAGAAAAGGTGAGATTACCAGCATAAACAAAGACATATGCGCATACAGTTACACATACATAAACACACACCTGGCTGTCTCATAAAGAATGGATGAATGCATCGACAGAGCTGGAACTGGTTGTTGCTGTTCGTTTCTAGATGACAGGCCATCTGGCACAGTGAGAAGCTACTGTCTGGCAGGGGATGCTTCAGTTTACACTCTCACCCTCAAAGACCAACTTGGGAAAGCTAAAGATGTGTTTGGCAGGCAGAAAGCAGAATATGTGTGAGTGGCTGATGTTTGACTGTGTTGTTATTTGTGTTTTGCCTTGGCCGAATGGTAGGGTACTGCTGGACAAGATGGTCCTCCAGGATCCCCTGGAGAACAGGTAATCTTTTCAACACTAGATTATACATGTAACACTTGCATAATATCTTTGCTGTAAAACCTGAAAAACAAATCTTGGCACCACAGATATGTTTTGATAACCTGTGTTATTATCTTCTAGGGTCCCCTAGGACCACAGGGGAGAAATGGTGAACCAGGACCTAAAGGGCCTAATGTGAGTCAGCTGTAATGTACTGTGTAGCTAGTGTTTGTCCTGTGTTTTAATGTGACTCATTTTTACCTCAGCCCACCATTGTATAGTCACCTTTGGTCACATTGCAGTGATGCAAGAAAATGCTTTCTTTTCAGGGTCCACCTGGAAAGGATGGATTGCCAGGCCATCCAGGTCAGAGAGGAGAACCAGTGAGTCACTTTTGATCTTAAAAAGACACATGTTTGGTATATAGCATGTTCCTTCTATGAGATACACAGGCCAAAACTAACTTCACAAAAAATCACCACGATCTACTGTATGTGTCAACACAGCAAAGTAGTCAGGGCTTCAGCAGTGAACTACGGAAGTTCCTGTCAGAGTTCAGAGGCTTGTACTAAATCTAGTAAAACACTCTGGCCTTTTCTGCAGTCCCCACATTACAGGATCTGTGTGTACTGCCTCCAATTCACCTCTTAACTGTGGATCACCTGACTCAGTTGTCTTTTTCTTCAGGGCTTCCAAGGAAAGAACGGCCTCCCCGGCCCCCCAGGTGTTGTTGGACCACAGGTAAGAGCATTGATATTTTAGTTGATCCTTAAAGAAATGGTTGTTTGTTTCAAATAGGATACTTTAAAATACGTGTTATGTCATGTGTGTTGTATACTGTGGCTGTCTTTAGGGCAAATCTGGTGAGACAGGGCCAACTGGAGATCGAGGCCATCCAGGTTCACCAGGACCACCAGGTGAGCATGGTTTACCAGGAACTGCCGGAAAGGAGGGTGCCAAGGTGAGTGCTTTTCATCATGATGTCAGGAACATAATCACCTACCAATATCATTACAGTATTACTGTTTTATTAAATAAATCCCTCTCAGCACTGCCTTAATATCTTATCTACTGGGTCTCATCCTTTCCTCTAATTTGCTAATAAATAACAAAGGAAACCTCACAGTGTTGAGTGTATTATGGCTCATAAAAGATGAATGCTCTTTTCTTGGTGTGACTTGCTAGTTGGTGTGATTTATGACTGCATAAGGGCCTGTTATCTGTCAGCTGCTTGCTTTATATCTAACAACATATGTGTGTATGTGTGGTTTCCAGGGAGACCCAGGTCCACAAGGATCTCCAGGGAAGAGTGGCCCCGCTGGGCTTCAAGGCTTCAGAGGAAGCAGAGGAACCCCTGGTGCAATGGTAACGCTGAGTTCCATGTATTTCATATCCTCGACCTGCTGTCATTGTCAACAGCATATTTTCCTAAAAATGTGTAGCTTGCAATTCACAGTTAACTTAAACAGTATCACACAAGGTGATTGTGTAAGACTTGTATATTAAAAATCTGTTGTGAAGACTGCTTGTTCCTGTGTCTCTCCAGGGTCCTGCAGGTCTGAAGGGAGGGGAGGGCCTACCTGGTGTTGCAGGATCTATTGTAAGCCTGATTTTGTGAAATTGCTTTCCATCCCATCCCCTACTCTGTGTTCAGCCACTATGTTATATAGAATGCGGGGACATATGAAATAGGAGGCTGTTTCCATGGTGACCAGTGATCGTGACCACTGAATTAAATAAAAGAGTGAATCATGTGATATACTAACTTCAGCTCTCCATCTCGTCTCATTTCCAGGGTGCCACTGGAGAGAGGGGCCCTGCTGGGCCGGCTGGCGCTATTGGCCAGCCAGGACGGCCCGGCGGCGTGGGTCCTGCTGGGCCGATGGGAGAGAAAGGCGAGCCAGTAAGATTTGGAACATTACTAATTTTGTTTTTTAGGCAACAATGTCCACTAACGCATAATGCACCATCACCTCCCACCAGTGGGTAACAAACAACATGTGCTCTTGCTTTGGAATGTGTCATTATGAGACAGAGAGCAGTAGAGAGGTAAAGGAGACAGAGAGAGGAAAATATGAATGTGATCAACACTGCTTTCCTAGGAGTGAGTTTCTTTCCTGGTAGGATACATTAATCAGTGTGTCATGCTGCTGTATGAGGATAATAAGTATTGTAGCATTTGTTAGATGTGGGCTGTTTTCCCATCTGTTCCCTAGGGAGATAAGGGGCCTGTGGGGCCGGCTGGGCATGATGGAGAACTGGGACCTATCGGGCTGCCAGGCACTGCAGGACCTTCTGGACCTCCAGGGGAGGACGGAGACAAGGTAGTTGCTTTGGACAGCTAGCTCAGCTGCAGCACTGCTGTATGGTCTTGGACATTTTTCTTATGTGTGCATTTATTTCCTCAGGGAGAGACAGGAGGACCAGGCCAGAAGGGCAGCAAAGGAGACAAAGGAGAAGCTGTGAGTATGAATTTTATGTAAATGCCTGAAACATGACATTTGTTGTATTACCAGGAGAACGACCAGGAGGTAGAGGACAAAATGGCCTATAATTGGTTTGGGGTAAATCATTGTAATAACTGCTTGTCTGGACAGTGCATCCTCTGGTGTAATGAGCTTTATTTATGTCCTTTCTCAGTGAATTTGTGCTAAATTGTTCCTCTGCTTTTTAGGGCCCTCCAGGACCTGCTGGAATTCAAGGACCTGTGGGCCAGCCAGGGCTAACTGTATGAGCCAGAACTCAGAATACATAACAGAAAAACATATAGGCTTGTGCAGTGCTAAGTGGGCTGACCTATGTGTGTATGTTTCAGGGTGCAGATGGTGAGCCAGGTCCTCGTGGGCAGCAGGGCATGAACGGAGCAAAAGGAGATGAAGGACCTCGAGGCTTTAAGGGGGCATCTGGTCCTTCTGGACTACAGGTGAAAATTTCATGACTGACTACAGCTCCATCTCATCTCACATTTATACCTGAATGTCTCCTTTCCCTTATAATTCCTGTCATAACGTCTAAATTTGTAGGGAATGCCAGGACCACCGGGGGAGAAAGGAGAGAGCGGTCATGTTGGCTCAATGGTGAGTACTGCTCAGCAATCTCTGCACGTACAACAGTCATCACGACTTGAGTGTTATGTTTCAGCATCAGTCTGAAGTCTGTTCTCATCAGCACTGTTCTCAGATCTTCCATTATTCCTACCTTGAGTTATCTTTGTCTCATGGCTGATTTTGGATATTGACTTGACTTTTTCTCACCTTATCCAAAAACCTTTGAATGTATTTCTCCACTTTGTCCACTTTTCTTCATTCTCTCCCCAGTATCAAATACGCCTCTGTCAAGATCAAACATGTATGCATTTGTCAGAAGAAAACAATGAATTTTTTAGTAGAAAGATTTTGAGTGTAATGCAGAGCTTCCGCAAGCACTGTAAATTTATATTTCTGTTTATGGTTAGGAAACTCTTGAAGGGTATTTAATATTTGTAAAGACATGGGTCTCTAACTTGAGCAAAGTAAGTTGTCAAAGATTATCTTGCTCGTTTTTTTTTTCTTTGTGTCATACAGGTGATGCTGAAGAGATTTTGTTAGTGTCGGGACCCCATCTCTGTCATTGTGGGTGGGGCACTCAGAATGGGTCTATTTTTAATATTTTCACAAGATCAAACTTTGCTTTATTCATCAGAGCACATGGCAGCCAGGTCCAAGTTGCAAACAAAACAAACAAACAAACAAAGAAAAAAAGAAAACCTTTTGTTTAGGAAAAAGAGGATGATGCCCAAACAAAGCTATCTAATTACAGTGTATTGCAATAAAACTTACACCAGTATTGTGTTTATAATGTTGTATTTTGCTCTGGATAGATATAGATAGGAAGTTTTACCAATATAACAAAGACTTTGCTGTTAGCGTAATGTTTTACTGTTGGACAGTAAAAACTGTAATCTCATTGTAGAATTAATCTCATATTGTCTTTATATCAGAAATGATTAATGATTAGTTCTTCAGGTAAGGATATAGGTTGTTTTTTTTCTTGAGCAGCTTATTATAAGGAAAAACAAGAGCAGTAATGAAGAAATCTAGTTTTTCAGATTCTACCTGACCTGGTGCATATATTGCAAGGTTTCAGGTTGTCAGTAGTCTATGACCTATTACTGGTACATAGCAACTAACCCGAGCTTATTAGACCTTAATTAGTACCACCAATTTAGTTCATTAGCCGTGCTGGTTCTGCTGCTGTCAAACTTGTGAGCCAACCTTTTCTTTGGTCGATAATCATTAACATTTGCTTCCCCCAAACTCCAGGACGTGGTTCTGAGTGGGGCTGAGTTTTCTCTGGTCAATGATTAGTCTTAATATTGTTTAGATGCTGATTGTACAACGAGGTGTTTGACTGCTATTCAAATAAAAGCAAGTCTTGGCTTTGTGATTAGAATGGGCTACTGTGAGACAAATTGCCCACAAATTAAGACTGAAGAAATGTAGCTGCTCTGCTGTCAGCCTGTGAGCTCAGAGCTGTATTTCCATTGTGGTAGCCTTGACAACATTTAGCAACTGACATTCGGTCACGCCTTTTGCGGAACTGAGGCACATGTAGCTAACTTTGTGTTTTCCTAAGAATAAGCACTTTTCAAAGCAGACAATTTGACTTGTCATAACAGGAAAAGCACAGGTGTAACTAATATTGGTAATTATGACTGTGTTTCTGGTAATGATCCTAGAAAGCCATGCCAGCAAGCCAGCATGCACATGACAGATTTCAAAGCGAGATTATAGAACAGATGAATAACAATCATGGCATAAAGGCCCTGCTGACAACTGAACTATTTTTACACTTTCTGTGGTTTTAAATGACCTCTACTAACTAGCTGTCCAAAGTTATGCTCAACTGTGATAATATGGCATAGGATAAGTGCCGTCGTAATTCTGTTCCTTGTATCACAACGTCTGCCTGTATCTTGTAAAATGATATTCACAACAATAGTCCTGAGAAGAAAGATCACTTAAACCTGTGACACTATCAGCACATCTTTTCAAAGTGTGATTGATCTTTGGACTGAATAGCACTAGTTGTGAATACAGTAGACCGTGGCTTCATGTGCAAGAAAGATGAGCCCAGGGAATGAATAGGTGGTCCTGTATGTATAAGGAAGGGGGGAAAAAAGCCAAAAAGAAAAAGAAACTGTGACAGAGAGGAGGCAGTGGAGCAATGGAGTGGAAGGAAGAGGCGGGGCAGTCATTGTGAGCAGGAAGATGGTGTGACAGCTGCTAATCAGATTAGCCTCAGCCTTGGCTGTCTAATGAGCATCCTCCTTTGTGACAGTCATCTCACAACGCTGTCAGCCATGAACACACGCTCAACAAGATTCTCTATAGCCCCTCTTCTCCACAGCCAGATTAGGGAGGGAATGCATTAAAATGGAACCAAAACAAGAGAGAGAGCGCGCGAGAGAGACAAGAGGAGAGATGCTGAAGACTCAGTGGGGAAGTTTCATTCATGTGTGAGTGTTGCGGATCACAGAATTCTCCCCTCTAATGCTGAAGTATCTCTCCGCCAGAAGGATATGTGTTTCCTCTAGTCCCACATAGTCTCTCTCTTGGCAGATTGTCTGTCTTTCTGTTTCAGTGTCTTTACAACACAAGGCTCCCTCCAAGACTTCAGACTGATTCAGAGCACAGCCCAACATCTACTCAACTGAAACTGAAGCCGAGCACAGTTAGGATTAATTGCTTGGCGCTCTCTTGAGCTGCACAGAAGAGTCAAATCGCATGCTGTCATCGGCTGAGAATATGATGTTGCACATCACAGGCTAGAGGTTTCTTATTAATAAGAGAGAATGAGAGGGAGAGGGTGGGTGGGAAAAATGAGAAAGAATCAGAGCCTGTGTCATATTGAGGGTAATGACCTGTCTGGACGTCTTCATCATGTCACTGCGATAATAATCATAGATACCAGGGCCATTGCATAAGCAATCCACCATAGGCTGACGTCCAACTCCTATTTAATTTAAGAGACACCAGCTCACATTCAGTTTGTGTGTCTGTGTGAGTTTTATGGATGAAGTATATGCATATTATATCATTTCCTTTCTCTCTTTACAGGGACCTCCAGGACAACATGGCCCACGAGGGCCTCAAGGGCCCATCGGTGGAGAGGTAGAGTGTCGTGTTCCTATTAATAACTTTTTTTTAAAATTACAATTTAAATGTGGGCGTGACTACATGTATTACAGAGACAGTTTCACATAGGCAGACAAAAAGAGATGCACGTACAGGTACTCTAGAGAAAGTAAATGGAGAATGCAATTGTAAATGTAATGTCTTGCTCAAAATAATATTCCTTTCAAAAAATACAGAAATGGAACATTCACAGATTGTACATAATTATTATTTTAATTGAAACTATAAATGCACCAGCACGATCTATTTCATTTGATAATGCTAATCAGCATAATCAGCATTACCAAAATTCCAATTTGGATTTTCATGATGAATAAATGTGCATACTTTTTCATAATATCTGCATGTCATATTTTAGCCCAGTATCTTTTCATTTTTTTGGATAATTAATTGAGCATTAAAAAATTAATTCTTTGTTACTGTTTTTGTTCTTTTGAAAAATGTATAATTAAGGCTAAATGTGCTCATTCAATTTTTGTATTATATATATATATATATAATCTGTAAAAGGAGTTTAAAAATTACACATACCCAGTGCATGATAGCAGCTTTGATGATTTAACAAGAAAGCATGACGGTAAATCTGTTTAAATAATGATAATATGGGTGACTCCTGTTAAAGATACAGTATTTTCCAGATATCACTACAGTAGCTTTATATGCTCCAGCCCTTTATATACTGTCTGCCATTGACCCTCCTTTTATTTTGAAACTTGAATTATTCAATAGTATTAGGATATAATCCTTGGGTGAGAGTTATATTTACTGCTCTATGAATCATTAAGAAGTATTAGACTATTATCCCTGAGAGGTAGTTATATTTACCTCTAGTAATGGTCGTCCCCTGCAGCCTCTCATAGCGGTCAATTATTCAGCAGTGAGATGCAGCAAGCTGTGTGTGTGTGCTGCCAGCGCTTCATCATGGGTAGCTTGGAAATACAGCGGTGCAGAGATGGTTGGATCCATAAATGGATTGATAGAGGAATAGTGCAAAAGAGCAAAATGGGGTAAGATTGCTTGTGAGGAAAGCAGCTGACAGCAGGAGCTCAGTAGTGCTGCATGGCTGTGTTCATCTCTCATGTTTGTGCACTTTGCCTAAGACATGTATTTGCTGGGTTTGTCTCAAGACACAACACAGAATACACGGACATACATGAGTGCATGCTACCACTCATGCACATGCACAAGCATGTGCACAAACAAATGAGTAAACTGATTGAGAGAGGGAAAATAGAATCCACCCTACTGTGATTTCGACAGTATCCACATAGAAAAACTGGCACTCAGTGTTTTCCTTATGCTGTGATAATTCTGTTCCAGTTTCAGCATTCTGTGAGCAGAACTGCTGACAAACAAACAGAAAATACTGCACAATACTGCAGAATTTGATTTCCTAAAATTAAATGAATATTTCAAACTTGCCCTTGTTTTTGTTCAAGCTGTTCTCTCTCCTCTTGCCACAGGGCCCACCTGGAATGCCTGGTGGAGTTGGTCAGCCTGGACTTGTTGGAGAGAAGGTCAGCATTTCCCATTAGCAACTACACTGCCAGTGCACATACAACAGAATGGTGGTGTGTATGCGTAGGCTTGACCGTCAGTGTGTGTGGGGAGTTTTTTTTATCTTACCAAATGTTCTTTCTCCATCAGGGTGAGGATGGAGAAGCTGGAGACCCTGGGTCAGTTGGAGAGCCTGGCGCTGCTGTGAGTCAGATTGCTTTGTTCTCCTCATTTTATTTTGCTCAAGCTCATTCTTTTTTTAGTTCTTCTCTTCAGCCGCTCAGTGATTGTCATTTGATTTGCTAATGTCCTAGGGTGGTAAAGGCGATGTGGGGGAGAAGGGTGATTCTGGTCCTCCTGGTGCAGCTGGGCCTCCAGGACCAAGAGGAACACCAGGAGAAGATGGACCCAAAGGCAACCTTGTAAGTCTCTGGCTCTGTAAATCAGTGACATTTTCTTGCTCTGGTTATCAGGGCAGTCAGTCTGTTAAAATCATTCATGGTGTTTTGTCTATAGGGTCCTATAGGATTTCCTGGAGATTCAGGGCCCCCTGGAGAACCTGGTGTCAATGTGAGTGTTTGTTGTTGTTGTTGTGCATACTACTACTTTTACTTTTTAATTTGTTGTCATTGTGTTTTTTGCTCTTTTACATTGCGTTTCTTCTTTCAGGGAGTAGATGGTGTATCAGGGCCTAAAGGAGACAATGGGGAACACGGCAAAGCAGTAGGCATAGTTTTGTTTTGTTTTTTTTAAATTCACTTACTGTATATGTTGACAACACAGTTAGTTCTTGTAAGCTAAGCTGAAGTATTTATTTTCTGTTTCACAGTGACATTATGTGATGGCTTTTTTCTCAGTGTCTTTGGGACTATGAGGAAACATGTTTCTATTTTCACTTATGCTGTTGTCTGCAGGGACCTCCTGGAGCCTCTGGAGAGCCCGGTCCTGCAGGACCTCCTGGACGAAGGGTGAGCTTAGTGTGTGTATATGTGTGTATACGTTTGTGTGCATGCACAAGTATGTATTTACATTATGTCTTTATTTGCAGTAAATATTTTATGCCATTGTCACAACAGCAAATGTCCTCTTTGTCTATCAGGGCCATATAGGTGCTGCAGGAAAAGAAGGGAAGCAAGGTATGAAGGGATCCAAGGTAAGGACAGAAACACAGAGCTCAGTGGTAGGATACGGTGCCTTTCAACAAAGCCTTTTTGATCTGTTTTGCTCCTTATGCCTTGCTGTCGTTGTTTGTCTTTCTATTTATTAGGGGGCAACAGGAACCCTGGGTCCAGTGGGGAAGACAGGCCCAGTGGGACCCCAAGGGCAGCCAGGGAGGTCTGGTCCAGAAGGGCTTCGAGGCATTCCAGGTCCTGCGGTCAGTATGGAGGGACCAGGGATGCAAAATGCTATTTTGATTTAAACTTGGCATAATATTGGGCGATTTAATCACATTTGTAATTTATGTGTTTATTTTCCAGGGTGAACAAGGACTAAATGGACCTCCAGGACAGACTGGACCACCAGGACCAATTGTAAGAAATATAGTCGATAATAAAAGCTGTCAAGTGAGAGAGGGAGCAGTTTTAAATATGAGGCAAAATTCAATACAAGAACAGCATATTTTATATTCAGAGTCTACAGCAGTGATGTACTAATAGGACTAATACTATTACTACATCTGGCATTGTTTATAGGGGCCACCAGGACTTCCAGGATTAAAAGGAGACCCTGGAACCAAGGGAGATAAAGCAAGTGTTTAGCCCTTGATTGAGACAACAGTGTTCACCGGTGTAAATCAAGGGAAACAATGATAGTGAGACATGCCTCTCTCTGCAGGGTCATGGTGGATTGATTGGACTAATTGGACCCCCAGGAGAGCCTGGTGAGAAAGGAGACAGAGGCCTGCCAGGAAACCAGGGTACACAAGGACCTAAAGGAGATCAGGTATATACAGTTGCAACAAGATGCATGTGATATAATTTCACACACAGTAAATTCAGTTCACTGACAACACAGAGTTGTGCTTGTACATAGGGTGTGTCGGGTTCATCTGGTCCCACCGGCCCACCAGGATCACCTGGACTCTCGGTAAGTGACATCGCTCTTACGGCAATGTGCTTTTCTTTGTCTGTGTATCAAGGATTGTTTCTAGCTCCCATACATGACATGTCCTTTGAATTTGAGTGTTAAGGCCAACCCATCTGCTCAGTCACAAAATGCAGACATACAGTTCAAATCTGTTTAGAAAGCGCTTGTCTTATGGCATCAAATCTTTTCTGACAATGGTTTGTAAAAAGTTTAAAATGCAAAAATAGGAAGCCTTAGTCATCAGCATATATAAGTGAAGGGTTACAGGCTACTGTTGCTAAGCATGCCTGATTTGTCAGTGCACAGCTGATTAATATTATGCAGTTCCTTCTTGAGTCGTAGTGCTCGCTGTCATACTCACTTGCTTTTGTTGCTTGCTTTCTCTTCACCTCCACTCTTAGGGTGCAGCTGGTGAGAAAGGATCGAAGGGAGACACGGTGAGTCGAGTAATGTTGTATTTATATATTGCCGTTCTGTAGTCACACCTCTACTTGGTAAGCAGCTGCTGGTAACATATGCTGAGGAAGAGAGAGAAAGTGTGTTTTTTTGGCTTAAATGTACCATGCTTCATAATCATAATACTTTACTGTGTTTACCGCATGTCTTTGGAACTAAAAGCTTGCTGTACAGATACGCTTGCCTTGTGTGTGATTTTTCCATTGGGCCCTTTTAATAGGATTTGGTTCTGCTGTGTGTGATGTTATGAAAACCACTATAGTGTGTCTTGAGAGCCAAGGCTTTGACCACAGAGTGCTGATGCACACAGCTGGATAATCCTATAAAGCAACAGCCATATCTGCCTGGATAAAGTCGGGATTCGGCCAAGAGGTGTGAGAGAGGCTCCAGGTGCGACATGATTGACACAAAGTTTGTCCTCTTTTATTCTCCAGGGTGTCGTCGGTCCCAGAGGAGATCCGGGCCGTGCTGGCCCCCCAGGACCTCCAGTGAGTAACTAACGATCCACTTCGTGGCCTTCTCAGTGCCAGCTTTATTCTCTTGTTTTCCCTTTGACCACCTGTTCACCTTTCTGTGCTGCTTTCAGGGACTCCCTGCAACAATGGTTGAGCCCCTGCCTATCAGAGAGGGCAGACGGAAGAGACGAAGGCACTCAGATCAGGCAGGTGGAGCAGTCCCATCCAGGGAGGAGGATGGAGGTCTAGACATGGAGGAGCACCTCCAGGGAGATCAGCCTCTGGAGGATGCTGAAGGAATGGAGGAAGTCTTTGCCACCCTTTCTTCTATGAAAAATGATGTGGAGCTTATGAGAAAGCCTCTTGGGACTTTTGAGAGTCCTGCCCGGACCTGCAAAGAGCTCATGATGGTTCAACCGGACTACAAAGATGGTTAGCAAAAAAATAATACATAGCTGATGCTTATTCTGCCAGCTGTGATGCCAAAAGTTTTATCCAAGAAAAACTAGTCTAGGAAAAAAAACATACAAATGTGCACTTATTCTCTTACATACAAATGTTTAAATCAAGTGCTGTTTACAGTTGTGATGTGTTCATTATATCAACACCTGGTTCTTGATTGATTAATGTCCTAATTCTGTGGGTGTTGTAGGAGACTACTGGATAGATCCTAACCAGGGCTGTCACAGAGACTCCATCAAGGTCTACTGTAACTTCACAGCTGATGGAGAGACCTGTCTCTACCCTGACAAAAGGATTGAGATGGTGAGCCTCCAGTCTTTTGCAGTCAGCATTCACAAAGCTGACCTCATCATATTACATCAGGGCACAAATCACTGCCTAAATCCCTTGATCCTAAAATTTTCTTCAGCATACTTCCTCTCTCCCTTTGTGTGTCTAGGTGAAACTAGCAGCGTGGAACAAAGAGAAGCCAGGAAGCTGGTACAGCCGATACAGGAAAGGCAAGCAGGTACAATAAATAAATACGACACATCAAGCCTCACCTCCTACCATTCATCTCAGCTGGCTCCAAATGCCAAGCAATCTTTTTCTGCTAAATTACTCATCATAACGAAGGGTGTTTGGATGATATTCATGCAAAAGATTGAGGTTTGAGCATGAATGCGCGAGTGTTTACATGAATGTGCAGGCTTGCGTGTGTGAGTCCATCCATGTGTACACGGCTGCACATAAATGTTTATTAGTAAATCTGCTTACTGTATAATGTGATATTAATCTATCATATTATGTGCAATAACAGAGCGGTGAGAATGACTCACACAAAGACAGTGGCAGCTGTGTGTCACCGACTAGCACTCATGGCCTCTCATGTGCACCTGATCAGAGGTCTTATAACCCTCTCAGATAATCACAGAGCTGTGCCATCAAGGTTGTAATTCACTGAATCACTGGCACCAGGTCCTTGGATTAGCTGAGACTTTTTTTCCTCCCTTTTTTCCTTTGCTTTTTACTTTGCATTCACTGTCATTTTCTTCACCTTTGAAAACATAAACGGTTTCCTCGGCACAAACAGGGAGATTTGTGATCTTGGCAGAGCTTTTTCTTATTTTGTCTGATTTTATTGTAATGTTGTTTTATGCCTAAACCTAAAGTGCTTGCTGTATTTCTCTGCCTCTTTTGTACACTAATTCCTATGTATCTATGTTGTGTCATTCAGTTCTCGTACAATGACAGGGATGGGAACCCTGTCCATGTAGTTCAGCTGACCTTTCTGAAACTACTAAGTGCCACAGCCAAGCAGAGCTTCACCTACACCTGCCAGAACTCAGCAGGCTGGTTTGACAGCACCTCCCGTTCCTACCAGCATGCCCTCCGCTTCCGTGGAAGCAATGACGAGGAGCTGACACAAGCCAAAAGCCCCTTCATCAGTGCAGTGCATGATGGATGTCAGGTCAGTGCTGGGACATGCCAGGGAAAGGGACTAGTTGGAGAAAGGAATTAGGCTTAATGAAACTAATGTGTTTGTCAATTGTGTTGCTGTTGTCGGTTGTGCTTGACTCAATATGTGAGTCATCATCAAATCGCTGACTTGAATAGGGACTTAGGATGGAGTGGGGGAGAGATAGTCAATTTAAGCCAAGCAAATCCCAATAATGGCTTTAATTTTTCTCTTTCAGCTCCGCAAAGGTCAGGAAAAGACTGTTTTAGAGATTGACTCCCCCTCAGCAGAGCTGCTCCCTATTATAGATGTGGCTCCAGCAGACTTTGGCAGCAGCAACCAGAAGTTTGGATTCCAAGTTGGACACGTATGCTTCAATGGTTAAGCATCTTTTTCAGCAACAAACGGATAACAAGACCTGTGCAGCAAGTTTGTTGAGAAAGAAACAGGACATTAACCGCTGCCCCAAACAATATTTATTATATTATGTTCCTGTATGTGGTGGGTTTGTGGTAGATTATTTAAGACTCTGCAACAGCCAGTGAAATAGTGTCTGTGGCTTTCCAACAGTAAGAAGAACGGCCAGAAAGAGGATATGCAACCATGGGAACGAAGCACATTTACCAAAGGGAATTATTCCAGTTAGATATATTGAATTTTAAGTGTTTTTTTGTTTTTTTAATTTTTTTTTTTTTCATCTCACTGTTTGAGAGTCCTGTAATGAATCCTCTTGAAATACAAGGACTATGCCACTTGACGATGACCACTTTTAAAGAAGACAGATCTGTCCGTTCATGGAGAAGAGCCGTCTTTCTGTGGTATGGGTCAGCTGAGTGGGACTTTGCAAACCATGGATGAACTAGTTGCTACCTAATGTTTTCAAATGACTGAGACTGAATAAATCAGAGACGTCATCATACTCATTTGCATGCTTGGATTTCACTATAATGACAATTGCATAGCAGTTGTGAACTAGCCTAGCATATTAATTCCACACAAGCACTATAATTAATTTCCTGTGTGCAGGAATGATAAATTGTCCTTTTTACCCTTCAACTGCAGTTTGCTCAGTGAATTACCTTGATTTGTATTCTTTACGTGTAGCTAGGTATTGAACCCAACACTTACTTGAACAAATAAGGTTGTTTCCTTTATTGGACTGCTTCTCTCCATGGGCTTGATAATAAGCTTTTTGAGCCCTCCGTGTTCCCACAGCCTACAGTACTGTATAAGTCGGAATAACATCTATTTCACTGTGGTATATGTACTTGCTATGACATACCTAGGTTGGGGATGTTTCAAGGCAGGAATTAAAAACATGCTGATTAAAGTGTTCTCTAGTCTAAACTGCAGTCCTTTATACCAAGAGATATTTCACACATCTCTTGAAAGCATTTTGTAATTGCTGACATAACCTGTTTTTTATTTTCTACCCTACTCAGAGTGTTTTTTTTTTCTCTTTTTTGTTCATATGTTGAAAATTGAACAGAGCGCATTGCTGTTCATTTGGCATGATTTTACTCTTCAGTGGTGCTAAAGATGATTCTGTTATATTTGTGTCACTATGTTTGTGTGTCTCCGTGGGCAGGATTGTAGGACTAGAGAGTGAGAGGGTTATTGCTCTTTCAGCAGCACAAAACACCCTCGGAGGCTGGGGACTCGTCCACTGTTTTTTTTTTTGCACATCTTCCGGCTGATTGTGCCAATTTCACAGGGCCAGTGCAAGGAGGTGAGGAACAGTTCAGAGCAATGTGGTTGATCACTTTAAAGGGAAAAATCACTCTTACGCCAAAATTTGCATTCTGCCGTTCCAGCAATATTGGAAAGTTTGGCACAGATTATAGCATCACAATAGGAGTTAATAATGTTGTCAAGTTATGAGAAGTTGCTCCATTATACATTTTCTCAGAGATTTTTTTTTCTTCAATCCGATTTGCCACAACCCTGTCATATTACCATGGGTGCTATTACAGTGTTGCAAGTGTAATTCCATTATTCACAGTCTGTGGAGCAGCTCCAGGATTTGTTTTTAGACAATGTCACCCCTACAGTTTGTCTCTGCAGTCTTTTTTTGAATTACTGAATGGATCTGTGAAATACTACAGAAATGACGCCTATGTTAATTCTTTTTTTTTTTTTTTGCTTGATTTACTCTTCAGCAAATCCTCTACCTCCTCTAGCTTGACTAGTAGCTTGTCTATCCAGCATAGGTCGTTTTGCAATTTATCCTCGCTGTTCTGTTTGTTTCACCGCATTTAACAGTGCAACTATGAATCCCTCTCCTCCTGTCCGATCGTGCACTGCCCGTCCTGTGTATAGTGTTTGTTGTACTAATTTTATATACTGTACAGTTATTCTGAGGACTTTGAAAGCAATAACCTGTTGCCTGAATGAAAAACAATTGTATTTGTCAACAAATGATGTGCAAATAAAAACAAACAAGAAATTATTCTGTTGTTTTTTTTCTTTTTTCTCTCCAAGATGCAAAAGAAAGGTTAAAACAATATCTATGAGGGTATGTGCTTGTCTACAATGTCCAGTCAGAGTTTAATAGACAAACAAGGCTCTTCATTACTAACTAGCTGTGCAACAATCACTCAACAAGCGTGCAATCAGAATCCCCGCAGCCCCCTACGCTGATTTGCTCCCTAGTTCATTTATTTCAATTAGCTCTGTTTCAGCTCTCAAGGGGGAAGGTGGTGCAGAGAGAGAGGCGAGGGAGGGGTGGAACAATAGATGGTGAGAACAAGAGAAGAGGTCAGGCATGAAATTTTAGAGGATAAAAAAATGCAGCTGCGGACATTTGATAATTTCGGTGGCGATAGCAGGAGCTACGACAACAGATATTTATGTGATTCACACAAGAAAATATATTTTCGCAGACTAATGCCGATACACAGCGCACGCATGTGCACACACATGCAAACACACTCTCAAGCCTGTTCTCTTGCACCATTAGAGTACAAGGCTCTTATCCCCTTTGGGGCCCATTGTTCAAGGTTAGCGTCAATGGTGGAATAAAGGTTACTGTGTTTTTTTCGCCTTTCTTCTCTCTTCCACTCAATTTTATTTTAACTACACTAAGCTCTGGACCAGCAAAGGTCATCTGTTGCCACTACCTCAGAATAACGATCAAGTAGAAGAGCCGTGTGACTATCAATGTGGGATTTCAACACCACCTTGTTCACATTCCATCGTATAGAGCTCATCATTCTTGTGACATTGTGTCTTGCTTTTTGGGGTTTTTTTTGTTTTTTTGCTGCGTGCCAAACCTTTGTTAGCATCACTGCAATGCTATGTACAACCATTATCTGTGTTTGTGAGCTAGAAATCTTCATGATTAATAGTCAAGAATAAAACCTCATAACTGAGATGTCAAACATGACAATCATTTAGAAACCACTGATGTGCATGTTCTCCAATTACACCGTGTAAGCAAAGCAATGAGAGGAGCTTTTCAAAACCAGCTGATCCAGGAGCTCAGCTCTGTGAAAGCCAGTGGGAATCCCATGGCACTGCTCTTCCATGTGAGGAAATTGTCATTTTATGCTTATAAGCATACAGAAGACAAACAGCTATACTTGAAAGTGGGAATGAATAAAGATGTCTATCTCTATCAGATCTGTGTGCTTCAAAAAGAAAACATTGTGAAGTGTGATATTGTTGTTTTTCTTTTCTTTTTTTAAAGCTCTTTTGTTTTACCAATACTGTAAAAACAACAATATTCTATGCTGCAGGGTAGAAACAGGAAACTTCATGTAAGTATCTGTGTTTTTGAATGATTATAATATTGCATAACACTAGCAAATATATAAAAAAAAACAATTGACCTATATTAACTGCTCTTTATTTTTTCCTTCTGATCTCCTTTCTTTAAAACAAACTATTATTTTAAGCAGATGGTTGTGACTCCTAAATTTTATGCCAGTGAAGATTAAATCAGTTGAAATTTGTGACTCAATGCATCAGATTTTTAAACTCTGTATCACTGATAGGGGGCACAATCTCTGGAAGACGCTGCCCCCATAGTACTCTGACTTTTAACACAATCTAGTCAGGACGTCTATGGTATCTTTGTGGTACCACCCCTGCTGTATCTAGAGGGTGACACACTGAACCTAATGTGTTCTGATCTCCAAACATGATCTGTGAAAGACACAGTCACCTTGTGAGCTTTGCCGTACAGATTTGAAATGATACTTTTGAGCAAAGCTCTTGGCCAGCTCTGCATTTTTGTTCACTGCTTCATCAGAAATTTGAACAGAACTGTGGGTCTATAGTTGGAACTGATGAGCTCCTTTTAGGCCCAAGAGTGCATTATTGTAACCCAAAGGCAGCCAGATCCTCAGTTGCTGCATATTGGAAAGAAGGAATATTGGAAGATTGTGTCTCTTGTTCCATCTTTCTTCTCTTTGTTCTCTCTTATCTCTCTCTCCCTCTGGCTCCCTCTCCCTTGCACTCACAGCTTTGTCTCATTATTCTGGAGCTGAGAAAGTTAGAGACGATTCTTTATTGTTTGTTGGACTGTCTGGTCTCCCTATTCTCCCTCTCACTAGTTTTCCCTGCCCTCGGCTCCTCTCCTGTGACATTGATTCTGACTAAGTTGAACGTGTCACAAAGTCACAGTGAGAAATGAACAAATTAAACAGATGCTCAGATTAATTAGAGAGAGTCAGGAGGAATATCTACATTTCCGGGTGAGTGGGGACATTCCCCCCCCCAACACGTCCACCCAAATCTGGATGTTGTGTCACAGTAGATATCGGCCGACATTATTTTCCACGCCACTGATGTGCGTAAGAGTGTACATGCTGTTCTCGGTTTATCATCTTGTACTGTATAAGTGGTGGGGAATAACTTGGATCATCTCTGGCGTGTGCTGAACGCGCTCCTCAACGCGTAGGCCTGCGTGTGTGTTTATGTTGGCATGTGAAACCATGAGCATTTGTGGCTGAGCGGCGGTTGTCTTATTAGTGTGCATGCAAGCACCTCTCCCGCCAGGTCCCATCCACAGCTCCTTTATCTCGCAAAGGGTGGGGGGAGTCATTTCCACGGATGCCTTTTCCATCAAAGGCGCTTATCAACAAAGCTAACATTAGTAAAGCAGTTTGAAAAAAAATGACTCGAAGGCGAGGGAGGGAAATAGAAATCCCTGGGCGAGTGGACAAACAGCTCGGCGATGATTCGGAAGCCCAAGGCCCTGGGTGTCTGAAAGTGTCAGATGATTATCTGGCAGACGGAGAGCCCAGATTTAAACACGCAGCTTGAGAACACCACCTCCACCCCCAACGCGCACACATCCTATTTGTAATTGGCCGTCTGCTGCGACTTTCAGCATTCACCACCACAGCTATGATCGCAACCACTGCTACCGCCATGCCATCCTCACTTAACTTAGTCCTCCGGAAAAGGAGGCCTGAGTTGCCTGCGAGCTCCCCGAGACAGCCAAAGTAATCAGCGGTGTCTTATTTACCAGATTGGGAGAGGGACACAGAGAGAAGTAGATGGATGAGGAGAATCAGAAAGCAAGACGAGAGATCGAGAAAGAGAGTGGTAGTCATTCACCAGCCAGGCCTATGTTGTATGAATCACTCAGGCCAATTTAAACATGAACAGCTGTTCATAAATCCAAGGCAGACAGTGTTAATGAAGAAGCTTAGCCCTGATCAGGAAAACAGGAGGAATAATCGCCGGGGACCAGTGTATTCAGCTCGGTGTGTGCGTGCGTATGTGTGTTCCTGATTTGTTAGTGACTGAGCGAGAGAGTGGTAGCTGCATGACCCCATCACTCAATAGAAATGATTTTTTCCCATAAATCAGACAAGGCAGTGAGGAAAAGAGCACAAGCCAAAGTCAGAGACCGGGTGATTCAGGAGTACACTGGCTAAGACCTCAGTTGAAAAGCCAGGGAAACTAATCGTTTCCATTCACCTCAATGAGTCTGACTGCTCGTGTCTGTGGTCCTGAATGCAAAGACATTCTCATTTTCTCTCCACCCCTCACTCCATCACTCCTTTCCCTTCACTCCCCCTTCCCTTTCTCCCCCTTTTTTTTCTTCTGTTTCCCTCTCTGTAATGATCAATGCGCCCTGTCCTGTATCACTGGCGCCACTGACACGGTTGTTATTCTATCACAGAGAATCAGAAGTGGCAGCATTTCATGGGCACCTGGACACTTTCCATAAATCTTGCAAGGCAGGGGTGAACTGCAAAGACAAAATAGCTAGCTTGAGGTGTGCTGGTGCTGAAAGTCATATAGTGGTTACTGTCACTTATGCAAAATTGTCAATGTCATGTAATCTCTGTATTTGTTCTGGCAAAATAGATCAGCTTTAGTAATCATTACAGTTTCTGACGATATAAAGTGCATCCCTTTCTCTGTGCTTGTCGGTGCAACCAGCAACGTTTGAATTATGCTTTCATATGTTTCACAGTAATGAGTACAATTGGGCCTGACTCCACTGCTCTTCAATAATTTAGAACCAACCTGAGACATGAAGCAATATTCTGAATCTGCAATCGGGAATTACTCTTGCAGTCACTCTTTTTCTATGTGTGTCTTTCTCACCAACTCTGATTTAATCTTTTGGACTAGTTTTTCTCTTCATTGTAACGCGGAAACCCTCTCTTTATTTTATTCATGCAAACACATGCAGTGTGCACTCACAGTACGGTCACACAAAAGTGTGTTCGAGGCTTTGACTTGATAAAGGAGGAATATGCTGGCACAGAAGTAATCGGAGAGAGTTGTGAATGCTGTATTACTAATAAACATTCCTGTGGCACTTGCATAATGAATGACAATTTCTTTTTGATACAAACAGTGCCTGTTAGGATGAAAATATCGCAATCAAAAGAAAACCTTGAGTTTGAGAAGGACAGCAGCGTTCTGCCAAGGCGTTTTCTGAAATTCAACATCTCAAATATATACAGAAGGTTCTTGAGCAGTGTAATCTACAATGTAGAGATAGAAGCACCAGTCTCTGTCACTGATAAGCCCTGACCTGTTTCTCTGGGATACAATAGATGAGTATAAAGGCAGAGAAAGCAGACCAATGTTAACATAAAACCACTATCAGTAGGAAGTCTTCATGCTGGAGTTTTCATTTTCTTTGACATTCTCTTCTTTCACATACATCATTCCATTTCCCCAAGGACACATCAAGCAGCCATTTCTAGTTTAGTCCCATATGCATGCCTGTTTCAGCATCAGTTGAAAGTTTAGTAATGTACTGATTGAATGTTTTCCTGCCTGAATAAACCACAACCTAGTCTGTTTAAACCACAATGTTTCAACTTGGATTCTCTCGAAGATCCAGGCACTGTGTGCAGTTTTTTTCCTTTACACAAGAGTACTAGTGGTCATGTCACAGAGCGAATGTATGCTTCTGATAGAAAGACTGTACATTGATGTGTATGTGTGTCTATACTGCTGCAGCGCTAATGAGAA